CCCCCCCCCCCCCCGTGACCTGCAAAAAGCCCTTCGAAATGTGCCATCGCTGCTATTTGGACAAAGGAGGAAAGCTGGAAAAGCACAAAATGAGCAGAGGTCAGGAAGAGGGCCCGGATCAACTGCTCTGTTTTAGCGTAACCAGAACACTCATATTTCTGTGGGAGGCCCGTTAGCTCCGTTTCGGGCTGGCTCTTCAAATTCCTAGGCTCAGGATCCTTAAGCGATTGTCTTCAATACCAGCCCCGGTTTGGTGAATCACGGGGTTGGAGAGGGAGGGAATCAAAATAGAAGCTGCCATTGCCATGTCGGGGATGGAAAGAAGCGGGGATTGAAAAAAAATAAAAATATGAATGTCAAACTGACCATCGCTAGCGCAGTTGCTGTTCCAGCCGTTGGAGCAGGAAGCAGAACTCTGGCTTGCTTTAATTCTGCTCTCGTAAAAAGTAAAATCTAGTCTGATTTTCTGACATCAGCAGCTGCACTACTTTCCAATATATAAATTCAGTAGCTAGGCACAAAAGCACGGCTTGCTGTCACTCTGGCTTGAAAATCCAGGACGTAAGTAGCAAATAAATCCGGAATCATTGCTGAGGAGCCGTAAACAATCCAGGAAAAATTCCCGAGCTGGGGTCTCTCCATTGAGACAAGAAACCAGAGAGCAATTTCTGAAGACACCTGGCCTGGGCCATCCCTCCATCTCCTGCAGCAGTGGGGTGGGGGTGTCATCCTGAGTTTTGAGGGGCTATTTGGAGTGGAGGCGGATGTGCAGGCAGAGTGAAGAAATCACAAAGCGGTGGTAAAAATAAACTGGGCATTGCGGCAAGGCACGCTCTCCTGCGTTCATTTTCTAAAGGTGCAATCATTACTCCGTGGCAATTGAGCAGGTGCGGTCTTCCACAGGCTCTTTTTATAAAAGATGCTTTGCCCCAGCGTGTGCCAAAAGCTCCCCTTGCATGGCCCATCAGCTCAATTCTGTTGGCAGTTCTTTGTACACCAAGGAATTTGTTCTGCCAACGCATCTTGTCATTTTGCACCTGGTTCCGCCTCCTGTCCCAATTTTGAACCATTTTTTGTTGATTTTAGAGACTCCGGGAACACAGACAAATCACAGCCTGTAAAGGTTCCAAGTCCTCCTATTTCCTTGTTCTGAGTCATGCCCTCATGTTTGATGCAGCTTTTTTAAAATAGCAAGGACCACCAAACCTTATAAACATGCAAAACTAATTTTGTTTGAAAGCTGAGCACAAGACCTCAGTGACCAGCTGGTGTCACGAACTATTAAATGCCTGCTCCCAAACGTCCAAAGAATACACTGTTCGTATGAAACTCAACCTACTCGTACCAAAAGGATATTGGAAGTGTAGCGTCTGATGTGTTTTTCCCTGGCGCTTGTCTCAGCCATAGCATGGGATAAATTGCGTGCAGTTCCGCAGAACCTGAACTTCACATCCAGGGTCAGTACAGGAGGTAAGAATTCAGGGTCGTGCCTGATGGGGAGATAAGCCAGAGGTGTGCAAAATTGGGCACGGCCGGGATAAAATTTGAGAGGGTGACCTTGTTCACCCTTCGTTCTAGAACCCAACAGGGATCACATGAAGTGGATGTGGGAGAGATCCAGGATTTCTTTGCATGGCCCAGAGTTAAAACTATGGAACTCACTTCCTCAAGAAGTAGCAAGGGCCACCGATTTGGAAAGTTTTAAAAGGGATTGGAGAACTTCATAGGAAAGGATTGACCCAACAGTGCTGTCTGGAACTCCTTGCAAGAGACGCTTGCAGGATAATCATTAATAGAGCCAGAAATTCACCCGGGGGGGGGGGGGGGCGGCGCTGGTGCAGAGCCACGTCATTGCGCTTTGCACGTTCCCCCGACCACATGGAAGCCACACCACTGTGCTGGGCTCACACAACCCAGCAACCACCCCGGCTTACATGGCACCACCCCAACCAAGGCGACCCAGCTGAGCCAGTCCCACAGCCCCCCAGCCAGGCAAAACCTCATGGCTGTTCCCACACGGTTCTTTCAAGCCACCAAGGCCCCAATCCCCACAGAAAGAGGATCCTGACCCGTGGGGTAGCGAGATCAGCTGAGCTCCCCAGAAAGCCAGACCTTCCCCCAGCCCCGGCCCCTTCCTTCAATTTGCATTTTTCCAGGTTTGCTTCCCCCCCCAAAGAGTCCCCTAACCTTCCAAAACGAGATGCCCGGTTTGATGCACAATGTCAAAGAGGGAGTCACCAAAATCGTCGCCCCTTCTGCTCCCACAAGCCTCTTCTCGATCAAAGAAACTTTTCTGAACAGAAAACTGGAGACAGTCCAGCGCCTCCAACATTATCTTTCCACACCATTTAATTTCCCTAAAATTAGGAGCACAAAATGTGCCCCACTAGGTCAAGCCAATCTGGAAAAACCACACGGGTTGCTAGTCTGCTTTGGGACCCGATTCAAGCCACTGGTTCCTACCCCTTAAAGCCCCAGATGACTCGAGACCCAGATACCAGAAGTACTCAAAGACCCATGAGAAAGTTAGGCACCGCATGTCACTCCAGCTGCTTAGGCCTGCAAGTCCCATCAGCCCCAGGGCCTCAAGCTACCCATCACTCTGAGATGTAGCAGAACTGCCACAAGCTATTCCAAGCCCAGGACACAGAAAAGGTTACAAAGACAGACAGACAACGCACGTTTCCAACAAACTGAAACTGGACTGAACTTTCAAGACTTTGCGGTACCCTTTGATGACGAAGACAATTACACCAGAAGATAAACATACGCATGGGGTGTTGGGGTGTTGGGTTTTTTGTTTGCTTTTTACTATGCATATTAATAAATATTCTTTATTCTTAAATTTTTGAACATTGCGCTTCAACATATTACATCCAGAACATACGCTTTCTGCAAATGGATGTCTACTCTGTAAAATCTTTATACGGAATTCATTGTCACTTCTGTACAGAATTATTAAGTACAACATTACATTTGCCATTAAAGGCGCTTCCCATGCGAGCTTAGGCAGAACAGACAGACAACTCCCGGTGTTTTTAAACTGCCTACACTAGCACAAGATTGTGCCTATCGGTTGCTTTTTTCTTTGCTAAGTGTCACAGTTAAGAGAAACATGGAAAAAAAGGGAAAATGGCTTAAATTATGAAAGTCTAGGCTTGCATCGATCTAGTCAAAACTAAAAGATCCAAGCCTGGAAGGAAACGAAAAGAAGAAAAGACCAGAAACCTTCAGCAGCCTCCCGCACAGGGGAAAGAAAAAATGAAAAAGAGAGAGGGGGAGAGAGAGAGAGAGAGAGAGAGAGATAGAGAAAGCCACATTGATTTTTAAAAGGTAAGATTTTGTTTAGTTGCTAAAGAGTCTTTTTTCCAAAGAGAAAAGGCGCAGTAGTCATCTCAAAAGTTTCATTGAAAGACATTGCTAATTTTATTGGGTTTAGTTCGCGCCGGCTGTTGTCAGCCAGCCACTACAAATCGGCCTCTTGTGATCATTCAAGCGGCAGTACTTGTTAAATTTCTCCTTCAGGTGCTGTCGGTATTGTTCTCTATTGCTGTAGAAAGACTTGTTGTTCGCCATGAAAGACTGGATCTCATCTTGCGAGATGAACAGCTCCTCGTCGGATGTGCATTCGGACTCGTCCTGCAAGACGCGTTTGGGGATGGGGGGGGGGGACAAGGCGGGGTGGTGAGGAAGAGGGAGATGCAGCAGAGGCCAGGCTCTGCCAAACCTGGCCCCTTGCCTGCAGAAAGCTTTCGTCCTGTCATGATGCCCTCCTGGAGGCTTAGGGCTTCCTCTGTAGAGCAGCGGAGACACTTCCCATGGCCCCTCGCTTCCCCACGGCCCCTTCCGGCTTGGCAGGTCAACCAGACAGCTGGGTTCCGCCAGCCGGGGCAGCGTTCGGAGGGGGATGCAGGGAGGCCCAAGGGCTGCCAGGATCACCTGCGTACTGTCGTTCTGCCCACCACCCCAAACGATTTTAGAACTCCCCCTAAACAGTGCTCAGTCCCTGGGCTGAAGGAAGTCTGGCAAGCAGGGCTGGAGCCCCTAATCTTTCACCCTGAGCCCCAAAGCCCTGGAAATCCTTCCGCCCCAGCTACCTGCTGCCCGGGGGACTCACTGCAGTACAGGTCCAGACACCCCCCATGACCTCTGTTGCACCCCATCTCCCTGGATCCACTGCCTAACCAACCCCACTGTTTTACCTCCCCTGTTGTCCCCCCATGAATCCTTTTTTGATTTTAATTGTCTTCTTCAAAGAAATAAAGGAAGAAAAATGTAAAAGAACTCCTTTGAATCTCTGTGTTTTTTCCTGGAATCTAAGACCTTCCTCTGCCCTGCCTGAACGTCTTCTTTTGGAAATAGCTGCATTGTCAGGAGATAGGTTCCTTCAAGGAGCAACACAGAGGCCCTGGAGCATCTTTGAATTGACATAACTGCTAAACTGGGCCTTTTCCTGCCCTGGGGGCCAGAGCCCTGGGTCTTTCTGGCCCCCACCAGCACCCTGGTTGAAATGCTCAGTGCAGACTTCACCCTGCCCCAAAACCGACCGTCACAGCCCCCCGCCCGTGCTCCTGGCCTGTACTTACGAGGAGTTCCACCAAGCTTTTGGCGCCCTTCCCAGGATCGGGGACAGCAGGCGCCTCCGGAGGATCTGCCGCACACAGTGACGCTACTTTCCTGTGCTCTGACCAAGGCACCAGCTGCCGGGCCATCTCTGTGCGACAACAGGTCTCGGCGTGCGGGTCTTTGGTCTTGTCTCGGTGGAGCTCCGTGTGCAAGGCCTTTCCTGAGCCCTCGTGGCCGCCCGCCTCCACCACGCAGTTGGCCAGCTTTTGCATCTGAGGCGGGGAGGAAAACGCGCCAAGGGAAGTATCGTGGGAAGCCCCTCCCACGGCCCCTCGCTCCCAAAGCTGAACCGCTGAACGGACGGCATTTCTTAGAAGCAGAGCGGTTCTGATACCCCACGTGCTCTGGGCAGAGGGCAAACCATTCGTGGATGAAATGGATTTTCAATGGAGGTCCAGACTATGGAATGTGCTCCCCAGAGAGGCCTGCCTGGCGCCAACATTATATTCTTTTCAGTGTCAAGCAAAACCCATTTTTTTAACCATCATTTTAACAATTAAGGGTTTTAGACATTTTAAGATTTTTTTTTGTTTCACAGTCACATTTTCTATTTCTTTTTTAAAGTTTATAATGTTCAATTTTAAATGTTTTAATAATTGCAGTGTTAATATTGTATTGCAGAATTTTATATTACGTAAACCATCCGGAGCACTCCCTTTGTAGCCTAAGATTTTGGGAGTGACCGAGTTTTGGTGGCAGAACCAGATCTGTTCACACACAAGACCCCAGGTGCAATCTTTGGTGTGGAAAAGATTCAAGGGAGGGAAAACTTTCCTCCAAGATCCTGGGAGTCTGTTGTGATCCCAGAGGGCTGAGCATCACACGGTCTAATTGCAGGTGTAATTCGAGGTCATTTTAGACAGGAAAAGCAGCGGCTGGCTGGCTGGCTGCTCTCTGAATGGGCGCAGGCTTGTGCTTCGAACCGCTCGGCGTGCGGCCCCCCAGAAGGACTTACGTGCTCGGCCTCGCACTTCTTGCTTTTCTTTTTCTTCTTCTTGCTTTTGCCCTTCGTGCTGCTGTCTTCCGAGTTGGCCCAGCACTCCACGCAGCTGTCCCCGTCCTCTTCCTTGTCATCGCAGGGATGCAGGCAAGTGTCGTCGCCTGCGAGAGAGGAAGGGGTGGCGCTCCGAGAAGAGGGCAGGCGGGCGGGCGGGGAGAAGCGGCGTGTGGGCAGTGCCGGCTTGCACCCCCCAAGCTGCACCCCGGGGCACGAGGGCGGCGGGGAGGCAGCTGGCAATGAGCATGCTCTGCTAGAAAGGGGAGTTCGGTATTTTGGGCAGGGGAGAAGAGAATGAAGGGGGTGAAGGCCTGGCATGGGGGGAGGCAGGCTGTTCTTCCCCAGGGGCTGTGTCCCCTCGTGGGTAACCTGCCAGGGAGTAAATGCCAGCCCTTCCTGTCCTTCTGGCTGCCCCTCTCTTGCCCCTCTTCTTTCCCTGCAGGAGGCTGCTGGGAGAGAGAGCTCTTGCAGGAGGAGTGAACCAATCACATGCCTAAGCCTTTTATTGTCTGATTTATTAGATTTCTATCCTTTCAAGGAACTCGAGGCAGCTCATGGAATTCTCCTCCTCCCATTCTCAGTCTTATCCTCACAACAACCCTGCAAGCTAGGGTGGGCTGAGAGTCTGTGACAGGTCCTAAGTCCATGGCTGAGAGGGCACTTGAGCCCAGATCCCCCGAGTCCTGGCCCCACGCTCTAAACCTTGATGCCACCCTGGCTCTCAGTGCCGCTCTTGGAATTACACGGAGGGTCGCACGAAATCAAGCTGAAACCCTGCTGGCCCCTGGGGAGGAACCCCAGTGCAGAACAGAAACCCCAGAGGGCCAGAACAGAAAACACACTGAGCTAGCAGATTCTGGAAAAGCAGCGGCTTCCAGTCCACCTGGCAAGGAACTAAATCCAGGAGCGAAGAGGCGGCGTGAGGGAAGGGGGACAAGGAACCAAGAAGATGGGAAAGGGTCCAGGGAGCTCAGGGAGAAGGGCGCGCGACCCTAACCCTTACCGTTTTCGTCATGGTTGCAGATTCCTTCAGTGCAAGCAACATCCGAGCCCTCTCGGGAGCCCGTTTCACTGCCTTCCATGCTGGAAGAGTAGCCGCAGTCACTGCCGTTACAATGTGCAGATAAGCCTGGATGGAGGATGCAGGGAAAGAGTCACCGAGCAGAGCAGAGCAAAGAAAAAGGCGACTTGGGCTTTATCAATCGATACCCCATGATGCTTTTTGGAGGTCGTTTTAAGGCGGGTTCCCTGAAAGCATTTCGAGCCGTTGGCTGCATTCGGAAGAGGGACCAGAGCTTCTCGGGATAGGAACTTGCTTAGATGAACCAAAATTTCCTGTGTTCCCCGAGCACAGTGAACTGGCATTTAATCTTAACTGTGCTTTATGTCAAACAAACCAGCTTTAAACCATGGTTTATGAGGCTGGCTGACTTCAAGCAAGCCACAGTTACGATCAAAGATGGTTTCGAACATGAACAACGGAAAGCAGTGAATAGAAAGCAGAAGCAAGCCCTTCCAAATCTCACGGTTGGATGTTCAAACTCTCGTCGTCTTCTCTTCCGGCTACCAGAAGCATGGATACAGATACGAAACCTTTCACTCCCCTTTTTCCTTAAATCACCCCATAAAAGGAGAAAGAAAGCTGGACAAAGAGGAATCTGGGATTTCTAACGTGAATGCGCCAGAGCTGGCCCGCTGTACCTTTCTTGATTTTAGGTGAACCCAGTAAAGTGCCACTGTTGGGACAAGTGCAAGACGCGTTTTCGCTCGTGACGAGGACCGCGACGCAGCCCGCCCTCTCTTCGGTGCCTCCACAGGCCTTGCAGCCGCTTTCCAAGAAGTTTTCCTGCAGGGAGGCAGACGAGGAGAAGAGTGAAGGGCGACTGGGGCGGAGGCGGAGGCGGGGCGTGGCGACCCGCAACACGGCCGGGCCTCTCCAGAAGACCCGTCGGCAGGATCAAATTAGAACGGCAACGAGGCGGGCCTTCTATGTTTGCATTGATGCCCGTTGAGAAACGCCTTTCCCAGCACCCAGATGTTGGGCATGTCAGCCAGCTGGGAGTTAGAGGCCAAAACATCTGCCAGCCATGTGGCTGGGGAAGCGAGCGTGGATGCCAGCGGGGCTCTTGGGAGCCTGCCGAAGGCCATCACACGGGCAAATATGCCCAGGGCATGCAAACGCCTAGCCGAAATTGGTTCCAGCGTTGCCCTGGTTTGAAGATGGCAGGCCGAGGTCGTTCAAAAGGACAAGACAAGACGGTGGGGAGGGAAGCCTTCCCCAGCCAACTGGTGCCCTCTGAGGGGCTGGACTCCCACTTCCATCGCCCCTGACCTTCTCCAGTTGAAAAGGTCTTGGGGAAGCACTCGTGGGATTTCTGCCCAAGAGGCACGCTTGGTCCTCCCTCGCCCACCCGTCTCCACGGTTCGCATTTGAAGCCCCCCCTGTGGCCAACGCCTCGCCCCGGGACACAGAATGAGCCCTTCTGAGCCAAACCCGGGCCTGCCCCAGCCTGACGATCGAAGCTGGAGGCTTCCTCGGCAGCGTCCAAGCCAGGCACCCATAACCAAGACCCTCTGCGCCCCCAGACGGGAGGAAGCAGGCCTGACCTTCTCTTCGCTCATGTCCTTCTCTTCCGCCGCTTGCACGGGCACCGGGATCTCATAAACACACTTGTTTTTCCTCCGGTTCTTCCGTTTCTGCCGCTTCTTCTCCTGCTTCAGCTCCCGCACCCGCTCCTCTTCGGAAAACTCCTCGCAGAGCTGCTCCAGCCGGCTGATGCCTTGCACTCTTTCCACAGCCATCTGCGTGGGAAACCGAAAGGCCCGGAGTCCAGACCTGCCCCGTCCTTTCCCTGCCCGCCACACCAAACACGCCCCCGGACCTTTCGCATTCTGCCCTGGCACCTCCTGGCCTACGAGCAGCACAGAGTTTAGCTTTGCATTTGCTTATTTTCTGCCTGTTCGGTTTGCAGCCGCCGTGCTTCAGATTCCCGCGTGCAGCCAAACCCAAGGGCCTTTCATGCGATGAGCTTGCTATGGGTGTTCCGTGTCTTTTTTTTTTTCTTCCTTCCATGGGCCAGCATCTCCCTGAACCTTCCTCCCACCGGCACAGAGATACAAGCTCACACGAGGAGAACACCGTGAGATCATGCCTCTGCGGTGACAGCGTCTCTCCCGTCTGGGACACGTCCCTGCCTAGAATGCGGGTCACCGTTTTAAAACGGTGCGCTAGAGACAGGCTCTCGGGGTCCTCCAGACACAGCCGGCTTGGACAAGGGCAGGGCCGATGCAGTCGCGTCCCAGAGCGCCCGGAAGGCCCTCGCCACATGCCGGGGTGAAGCCCTGAGCTGCCCCAGGGGGGGATTAATGAGGCTGGGGGGCAGGTTGGCTGGGGGCTGGAGGGGTGAAGACAGACTTGGAGCGGCCTTGGCTGCTGCATTCATTGCACGGGAAGAAGCGCCGACTTGCCCCTCAAAGGACGGGGCTGCGCTGGATCTTCGTCACGGATGGGGAGCTCATGGCCCTCCAGCACGGCTCCATCGTCCCTCCCTACTGGCTGCGGTGGCTGGGGATGATGGGAACTGCAGCCCAAGGACGTCAGAGGGCAAGCTGCTCCCCCGCCCACACACACCAGCCGACAGCCTTGCAGTGACCCTGGCCCCAAGGTGTTTCTGGCTTTGCATGTGGGTAGCAAACCCCGAAGCCACGAGCAGGGGGCCGGCCCACGGCCCACGGGGTGAAGAGGGGCCTTGCCGAGCGGCCGTGCCCGCTGCGGCCTCTGGACCAGCCTCCCGGGGAGCCCAGGGTGGGGATCCTGCACCCCGTGGGCCAAGCCACCCCTGCTCGGGAGCTGGCGGCACCGAACGCGGGGGGGGGGGGGCACACCTCGAAGCTCTTGCGCAGCGCGTCCACGCCCAGGTAGAAGAGCATCTGCCACGTCTGTTCCTCGGCCCGGAGCTTCTGCCAGATGCGGTGCAGCCGCTCGTACAGGTGGATGCCCAGGCAGGTGAGCACTTCCTCCTGGGCGATGTCTATGGTCTTGGCATGCCGCTCCCGCCGCCTGGAGGGACACAAGGTGCACGGCGTTGCATCCCCGGATCGCTGCTTTGCACTGGGGGGCCACCCTCCCTTCGGAGCACCTTCCTGACTGGGAAGAGGACTGTGCCAAGAGCGGGGCCACCAGGCCCGCATCTGGGGGCTTCCAGCTGTCCACCCAGGGCAGGTGCAAAGAGCAGCTCCTGCAGCACGGGCGCCTGGAATGTAGGCCAACACGCTTGGAGTGGAGGGGGGCCCAGCTAGGCAGAGGCCGGTTTTGACTGAAAAAACAACGAATTTTGAAGCCGTTCTCAGGCTTGAAAAGGGGGGCGGGGAAGGGGGGGGCAGGGAAGAGGGAGAGGGAGGGGGCCTCTTAACTGAAATTATGCATCTGGCTATCGAGAAAAATATTGGCCTGAACTGGAATAATGCATCTTTTCCTAGGCACAGCAAGTCTGGCTCCCAGACCTGGCAGGGGGCCACTGGCTTCCACATAGCACAGGTGAGAAAGGACGGGGGTCCCTGCGTCCCCCCCCCATCCTTGGCACGACCACCGCGATGTTTTCCAAACGTATATCCAGGCACGAAGAGCTGGGGTGCTGGACATGCTGTGGATCTCAGGGTCCTCACACGCAAACCGAGTAAAATTGCCTCCCTTTCCATCCCCGAAACGGGCCTTGCTCCACCCAGAGGCCTGCAGATCGGCATGCTGGCTGGGGGTGCTGGGAATGGTAGTCCCAACTCTCCGCAGACCATTCCTGTTGCCTCTCGCGGATCCTCCGGAGCGACCGGGGCCCCTCCAGCTGCTTTCCCCCGGCTCCCGCTGCGTCCGCTCGGGGGCTGACCCCCCAACGCTTCGCTCTGCCCCTGGGGCCCCACCCCACCCAAGTGGAGAGCGGCATGAGCCCCCCTGGGGCCCACGAGCCGGCAGCGCGCAGGACAGACGGGGAGGAAGGCGCTCTCGCCCCCGGGGGCAAAATGCACGCTCGGCAACGGCCCCTTCTGCTCGTTTTTCGGGGGGGGGGGGCGGGGAAGCGGCTGGACGGGGGTCCGAAGAAGAAAGCCCAGTGCGAGGCCACTACATACTCATACCCTCCTGTGAACTCGGGCTCGGCGCGGCCGAGGAGGTGGGCGATGAAGTCGGTCTCGCAGCAGACGTGGATGTGGCGCTCGTGGGGGCAGCAGCGCAGGCCCTCGTACAGGGCGGCGCAGTAGCCCTTCTCCTTGCTGCAGTCCAGCTCGCCGATGAGGATGGTGTACGCCCGGAGGACCTTGTTCTTGCAGTCGGTGCAGAACCTGCTCGAGAGGGGGGCGGGCGGAACGGGGGCCGCTGAAGCGGGGGCGTGCGCGCGCCCCGGGAGGCCCCGAACGGGAGGCGCGCCGGCCCCACGGGGAGGGGGCGGCGCGGCGCTGCGGCCAGGAGGAGGTCGACGGCGGCACCGACGGGAGGGAGGTCTGCGCTCGCCGCGGCGTCTCCCGGGTGGACACCCCCTGCCGGGGACCCCCCCCCCACATGACTCGGGCTGCGTTCTGATTTGTTGGCGACCTCCCTCAAAGCCACCAGGAAAGGGGGATCGAGCGGCGAGCACCACTCTCCCACACAAAAGCTCTAGGGGGCGCTGTGGTGGGCGGAAGAGCACACACGCACCAGGGGAAAAGGCGGGGGCTTTTTTGCTTCACAGGACAGGAAAGGAGGGGGTTTAAGTACCCCCCCCCCCCGCAGTAGAAGAGCTGGATAAAAACACAGTAAAATCTGAATACCTCCCGTGCACCTTCGAAGACTCGGAATGCTGGGCGTCGCGGGGCCTTTTCTTTCTAAATAGCTGCAGGGCTGCCCCTTATTTTGGGGGCACGGCCAACACCAGGGGTCTCCTCTTCCCCACGTCCTTACCCCAGTTCATTCGCGCCCCTGGGAGCACCAAGCGGCTCCAGGGCCTCAGTCTGGGTGCTGTTTTCAGGCGGGCGAAGCAACCCGGTTGTGCGAAGGCCGGTTCCCGCCCCTGCGCCTGCCACCGAGGCCCCCGGCCAACTTCCGCTGGATGCGAAAGCGGCCTTTCCAGCCTGCAGCCGGCCTTTCTTGGAAGCGGCCCAGGAAGCTCCTAACTAGCAGGGGCACAAGACCGTGTGGCCGGAAAGAGAGCTTTCCTCCTGGCCCCCGGGGCTTGGCACAGGCTCCCTCCTACACACACACACACACACACCCTCCGGTCTCTACAAAGACTGCATTCTTTGGCTGAAAGGAGGGACCCCCTCCTGCCACGCTCAGGGAAAAGGGGGGAGTGGCCACCTGGTCTCCCCGCCCTCACCTGTGTTTCCGCAGGTATGTTTCCAGAGTTTCCAGGAGGCAGCTGGAGTCGATCAGGACGACTTCGTCTCTGCATTCCTGGGACATGAGCTCCCAGACATCCATCCAGCAACCCCTGTGGAGAGGGAAGGGGTGGGAAAAGGAAAGGACACGGAGGTTACCTCGGGTGGAAAGGGCCTCACCTGCAGGGACACGCCCCGGGCCCAGCGGTTTCCGGGCACGCAGCAAAGGGCTGGTTTTCTGCCAGTCCTCCGCGTACCGATCCACGCCTTCTGGACATCGACAGCCGGAGCTTCCCTTCAGCTAAACATTTGGAAGGTGGCTTGGAGGGTGAGGCTATTTTCTGCGGCTTCGCTCCCCTGCCCACCATTATGGGATGCCTTCCACGGAGAGACTCGCCCCTTCTACCTGCCACCCCGGGGTCGGTTCGCTTTTTCAGCTCTCGCAGTCCTGCGGGACGGGCGCTTCCGCCCCTGCTAGGAACATGCGGGCTGGTTTTAGCTCTCGCGACTTTGTCATTTAGGCCCCACTCAGAGCAACTCCCGAAGATTAACAATGGGACAGTCCCCGCCCTCAGGGATTACCAACCAAAAGACACGACACAAGAGGAAAAGCGGTTGGGAGGGCGAAGGAAAAGAGGGAAACAAAAGAAGCCACACTCAGGCGCCGTTTCTTGGTTTCGGAGATCCTGCGGGGGGGGCGGGGGGGTCTGTTATTTTTGCAGGCTTGGCGCGGCCGTTTCTTCTCAGCAAGATTGGAAAGGGCGAATCGGAGGGCCTCCCTCTTGTCAACCTGGGGCCGGTTTTACAGGAGGCCCTTCCCAGCCCTGCCTGGAAAAGTGGGAGGCGGGACAGGCCCTTCCGGGGGCCAAGGAGGGCCCCTGCCCTGCCCTGCCCCCCAGACATGGACAGAGCATCATAGAGCCAGACTCGAACCGACTGGGCACAACAAGGCGCCCAGCGAAAGGAGAGGAGACCCCCACGGTCCTGCGTCCATTTACCTGGCAGCTCCCTGGAAAGGTCCGTAGCAGAAGGAGATCTTACACCTGCTCTCCTTCCTTTCGTCTTCACTAGTTCTCTTATCTGCACCTAACTTCTCTGTGCTCGGGGCGCTACCGTTCCCTTCACTGGAGTATACACACGGCATTAAAAGAAGAATTTAATGGCTGCAGAATGGGGCTCAGGGCCGCCCCCCGCTCCCCAGCTTGGGGCAACTCCTCCGTTCGAGGACGCCTCCCGAGTACGGCTGTTCCCTGCGGTGGCGAGCTGGCTGCCCTGGGGGAACTGCGGAGGAAGCCCCTGGCCAAGGGCCTCGCGGGGCAGTGGGAAACAGACAACTGGTCAGCAGCCCCTCCTGCCACCCCGGAGTGGGACTACGGTGGGGGGGACCCTCATCTCCCACCCTGCAAACTGGCACGACGCTAAGCTGGCAGAACCGGGCCTGGAAGCATCGCGAGCAGAACCGGCCAAGGCAGGCTGTTGGCGGGGGGGGGGGGTCGCCCTTCCAGACTCGCACGCCCCGGATGGAGACACGCCCCTGCCTAAGGGACAACGTGCTCCTGGCCTGTCGACATTCTCCTCCTGAGAAGCCTCCATATTCTCCTGGTCTGTTTAAACTATACAAAGCTTCTCCTGGGTGCGTTAGAAAAGCAAGCTGTGCTTCGCAGCCTTCTCTGGAGATGCTGGACCAGGACCCCCAGCTGGGAGAAACTAAGTTCTGGGCCAACGCATCTGCTTGGGGAAGGCTGGCGTAGCTTGTTCGGCGCATTTGGGCGCCTCACCGGGCCCCGACCCTACCCAACTTACCCCAGGTAAAACTTACCCCAAGGGTTTGGGCTTGTGGGTGTCCAAGGAGTGCAGCTGGCATCTCTTATTCTTCTTACTTTTGGGAATCGAGTCTATCATTTCGTTTAATTTGGACCTTTAAAGAACGCGAAGAACCAGAACAGACAAATCAGGACTGTCCGAATGGCAGGAGGCCGTTCATGTGTTACAATGCACACTAACACACCGGGACACCGGATCCGTGCGTGGTGCACGGGAGGCGTTACGTGGCGTGCGCTCGACGAATCCGTGTTCAAGCGAGCACGTTACAGCGCATTCAAGGAACGAACGTCACGGGCGCATGCGGCTTGCGGGCCACGATGGTGCGCTCACACGATGGTGCGCGAGGCGACTCTGCTGAGGGCTGTGACAGGTTGTTCTGAGCGCTGGGGGGACGTTTTTGCAAGGTGAAGCAGGAACCGCTCCGCCCTCCGCACGCCCACGACTCTCTCCGTGCAGCGAAGGCAGGCTTCCGCACGGCACGCGGCCAGGCCAGGCCAGGGGTGGGGAGCCGATTGTGCAAGGGGGGCCGAGCGCAGGGCTGGGAAGCTCCCGTTCCGGGGCGGTCAGGAGGAGAGCCCAAAGGGAATCGGGTGAAGCGAGATGAGCTGCACTGCCGGCTTAAAGCCTCGCGTTCAGCCACGGAGACTGCAGGGCCTCTTGGAGAGGCAGGAGGCAGTGGCCAAGAGGAAAAGGGGCAGGGACGGGGGCCCCCTTGGGTCAAGTGTGGCCTGTATATGCCCTCCTGCCCCTTGAGATCTGCAGCAGAGGCCCTGCGGCGGGAACCCTCCCCGAAGGAGGTTAGGAGGGAACATACTCAGAGGAGGGCCTTCTCTGCGGTGGCGCCCAGACTCTGGAATGTGCTCCCCAGAGAGGTCCGCCTGGCACTGACATTATATGTTTTTTGGCTCCAGGTAAAGACCTTTCTATTTACCCAATATTTTAAAGCTTAAATATTTCAATTATGTTTTTACTGATACCCTCAGTCGGGTTTTATCTTGTTATCGCTTGATGTATTTGTTAAATATTATATTGTAAGCCGTCCAGAGACGATCTGTATACCCTAATAGATAAAATCCATACATCAAATGTGGGTCCAAGGACCAGCACCCCCCCCCCCGCCGAGCCGCCCCCGCCTTACCCGTGCACGTAAAAGAGCGTGTACAGCTTCTTTGCGTCCCTCATGCAGCTGGGGGTGACGGAGAGGACGCCCTTCGAGCCCACCGTGAGGGGCTCCAGGGCGGGGTTGCCCGACTCGACGAGCTGCGAGAAGAGGCGCTCCACGCTGCGGCGGCAGCCCACGCACGGGACGAGCTGCGAGAGCGCGCTCAGGACTTCGCGAGAAGTCACCATCATGGCCACGTTCAGGTCCTGCTGTTTCAGCGTGCCGTGCCGCTGCGGAGGGGGAAGCAGAGGGGTGAACGCCTCCTTGCGCCACGGCTCCCGCTGCGGGCCGAGCCCGGCAGGCTCCGGGGCCGACGAAAACCGGGCATCCTAATCCGAAGGAAGTCACTGCCCCGCGGCCGTTTCCCCCTGTGTCCACGGGATTGAGAGCTTTGGCTCCACTTCCAAACTATCGCAGCTGCCTGTCCTCCTCCTGGCTAACAAGCGTGCACGAAAAGGAAGTCATGCTCGTGCGTTGCTCTGTGATATGCTGCACAAACTGGAATTTTAGTGCAGGCAAGAGTGGCGTTTCCGCTTAGCCTGCTTTCCTGCAGATGTTCCACAAGCATGTTGATCCAAGGCAAAACATAACGATGATGACCCACTTCTCTCTGTCTCTGTCTCTCTTAAAAGCTTTTGTATGCCATCCTATTATACAAGATCTCTTTAGAGGCATTGTATATGGAGGGCCATTGTTGTTGTTGTTCAGTCGCAAAGTCATGCCCGACTGTTCGCAACCCCATGGACAACACTCCTCCAGGTTTTCCCGTCCTCCATCATCCCCAGAGTACCCCCAAGCACACACCCACCTCTGCACTAATCCCATCCATCCACCTCAATATGGAGGGCCGCAGCCCTGTTCACAGACTCAGAAACAGCATATGGGGCTGTCTGAGCCCAGTCGTGCAAGCAAACCATGGTTAGTTCAACTCACAGTAACAACAAACCAGGTTTGTTTGTCTTCGAGGGGCGGGGGTTGTTCGTGGTTTGTTAGCATGGCTGGATTAACCCACATTTCAAGGACACTCAGTCCCGGACTGTGGATAATCACGCTATCCGTGCCCAGTCTGTGTGTAAATTCCAGAAGGTTCTTCAGCTGAAAATCCCTCTGCAGACCAAAAATTTGCATGCTACAGAAAGAAACATTTCAGGGTAATGCAAGACAAGACCCTGCTAACGCCCCATCAAACCTAAAACGTAATTTGAAATACGTGTCTTCTGAATGGATGTTTAAGAAGAGAACGCGCCGACAAACAGCCCGGCTTGCTTCTCGACACAAATGGCAGTCGCCTACCTGGATAAACTGCTTCAATTGTGCTACATTGTTCTGATGTCCGTCCAGGCTTAGCATGTTATCGGGAAACTCCATCACCATCTGCGTGAAAACAAAGCACCCGCGTGAGCCTTCCCAGGGGGGCATGCGGAGCGCGCCGCTCGCAGGCTGGCCAAGCTGGGACACTCGTGGCCGCCCCGACTAGTTGTGCCGATCCTGCAGTGGCCCCTTTGCCCGCCACTGAAGGCACCACGACACAAAGTCAGCCTGCGCGAGGTGGCCGGAGCCCGCTTCACCCACACCTGCGGAGGCCAAGCTGCCACCCAACGTGACTCTTGCGTCGCCGCTGCACCACCGGCGTTCCTCCAGGGAGACCGCCGGATGCACACAATCCCCATGCTTTTATATTTTATATTTTTACTTATTTTATATTGTTAATTTTAATTTTATATTGTTATTTTTGTATTTTATTGTATTTTATTGTGTTTGTAAGCCGCCCCGAGGCTTCGACAAGGGGCGGCATAGAAATGTTCTAATAATAATAATAATAATAATAATAATAATAATAATAATAATACTTTCACAACAACCCTGTGGGTGTGGGAAGGTCGAGAGTCCCCAGCCAGCCCCAAGTCGCCCAGCGAGTTGCACGGCTGAATCGGAGATGCGAGGAGCCACTGGCTCCATGGAGCAGCCAGGGCGACACGCCGGGCAGGGGGCTTTTCCTGACGTCACCGTCTGCCTCGTGGGGGGACGGCTGCCTGTGGCTGATCTCACATGACCCCCGGCTCCCCTTTCTATTTATTTATTTAGGATATTTATATGCCGTCCTTTGCAAAAGCCTCAGGACGGCTTACAAAGATAAAATACAAATATCACCAAACATAAATGATCGACCCACTCTGGCTGCAGTTAAAATATTATGGTAAAAATACAATATTAAAACTTATTAAAATGTTGATCAAATAAAAAGGTCTTAGCCTGGCGCCGAAAAACATATAATGACGGTGCCAGGCGGACCTCTCTGGGGCGCGCATTCCACAGTCGGGGCAGCTTTCTGTGCAGCTTCAGCTATATAGCGATACACCTAGCCCTCTTGCCCCAGGCCGGTCTATCTGCCTGAGAGCTGCATCCTGTTTCCGCAAAGCCAGAAGACAAAGCAAGCTGGAAGCAGGAGTGAAAACAAAACGCCGGCATATTATGGCTTAAAGTTTCTACTCCCGAGACCAAAACTTTACCAGATGCTTTCAGCCCTTTAGAAGGGCAAAAAACCTGGACACCAGCCACCAAAATTTGGGAGGGCAGCTACATGCAGCCCTTAGACTTGCGCTTCTGCACCAACGTATTAAGCCATCCTAAGATAGGAGCCTTCCTTTCTGGCACATCATCAGTTATAGCTTCAAGCCGTAAGAAAAGAGAGAGAGAACAAAGAAAAAGCAGAAAGAGGGGGAAAGGCAATCATAAAATAATGTGGTTAACCGCAAATGACCCTTCAAAGTCACCCAAAGTAGTCAAACTGCTACCTGGGATGGCACCACTGGTAAAACCTGGAATTCGGCATGAGTTATGCATTTGGGGGTAGTGAAAGCTGTCCTGGACTTTCCTTGTTTCCTTATTTCTCAAGATCCTTTTTCTGTGCCTCTCGTTCTCCCAACTCCACCCAGGATCTCCTTCCAGAAGCACTAACGGTGGTAAATCCAGGCAGAACTTCCGCTCCCAATGTCAGCACAGCTCAGCGGGCTGGGGCGATTTTTAAGCAGCCTCCACACAGGGGCAGGAGGACCCAAGCGCTTAATTACACCGACCAAATTAGAGATCACTATTCACGCACCGGTGACAGTTTAACGGCTCGGAGGGTAGAGATAAAGTCAATTCTCTAGAAGTGCCAATTTAGGAGCAGGGCAGTAATTACAGCAAAGCGACTCCAAGGGATAATATTTTCCGCCCCTCTGCCGGCAGGTGCTGGCTCAGAGGAAGGCCATCCTCAAAGAATTACGCTCGAGGTCAAGCGCTTTACGGGATTTCCGACTCAACAGAGACAAGAAGAGATGGTTACACCAGTAAAGGTGAGCAAAGCAGGTGAGGGTTGAGTCTCCAAATCTTGCAGCTGCAGAGAGAAGCGCAGATTGCAATTCCCCGTCTAAAGGATGGGTGGATGAAGGGAATTACGTGTCGCGCTGGGGAACCTTTTTCACCCAAGGGTCGAATTCCATTTCAGAGAAGCTCTTGGGGACACAGTCCAAGGGGGAAAAGGCCAAAGGCGGCTCAGGACCAAAATAGCAGCCTATTTCAGTTCAAAGCTCTGACCGTCGAGGGGCAAATAACAGAGGAAAAGTATTTCCGCTTTTCTGAACGGCAGGGGGAGACACAAAACTTGGGGAACCAGCAAACCACCTGGAAGTATAAGCAATTTATAAATACTTGCATATTATTAATTTACAGGACTTGCATACCGCTCCAATATTCCAGTGAATGTTGAGAGAGAAAATGGATAAAAGAATAAAACAATACGTCAGAAACAACACTGGAAGTACTATTGACTCTGAACTGGCCCCGTTGAACGTATTTGTTGAAATACTGCTGTCCATGGGGCCTCTACTGAGAGCACCCAGAGGAATCTAACGGCTGCATTGATGGTTTTTCTCCAGGTAGACTCCAACTGGGCTGAAGACCTCTTTTTAAAGAAATATAAAGCTCAACAGCAGTAATTATTACTAAATGACATTTAGACCTCATCTTCTTGTAAGGGATAAAAGGTGGCTTAGATATAAGAAATAATTGAATTGAATTGAATTGAATTGAATTGAATTTATATTTTTATTTATTTATTTATTTATTTATTTATTATTTTTCGGTTTATATCCTGCCTTTTCCTACAAAGGGCTCAAGGCAGCTGACATCATTCTCCTCCTCCATCTTATCCCCACAACAACAACCCTGTGAGGTAGGTTGGGCTGAGAGGCTGTGGCTGGCCCAAAGTCACCCAGTTGGCTCCATGGCCGAGCGGGGACTCGAACCCGGATCGCCTGAGTCCCAGTCCCAGCTCTTAACCACTACGCCACACCGGTCTTGAAAATATTGCACCTTTTCTCGTCTTGCAAGGACCCCAAGCCTGTTTGTAAGGGCCTCCTCCTCCCCATCTTATCCTCATAACAACCCTGTAAGGTAGGTCAGGCTGAGAGACAGCCAGTGGCCCGAAGTTACCCAGTCAGCTTTGTTCGATCCGTAAAACGTGCAAATCATGGCCCTCCTTAAAGGTGGAAATCCAGCAGCTGGCTCCATCCACACAACAGCCTAACCCTCCACCAGCAACTGGAATGTTCCCCAAGCTCATGTGCATCTAAGGCAGGGGCAACAAGACGATCTTTTAAATCTTTGAACTGGGGATGCATTTTCCTTTGGCCTTTAATTCGATTTTAGAGGGAACGTTTAAAATCTTTTAGTGCATTTTATGCTGCATTTTATGGTTTTAACGGTTATGGATGAACTGTCAGCTACTGGAAGGCGCAAGAATGCCCGAAGCTCCTTTCCAGTCCCCATGAGTGACTGCGGATGGGGCCCCATCCGAGGCAGCGGAGCGACTTTGCTCTTCAGGAGGGCGGAGGTCCCCGGGAGAAGAACAGCTCACGCTCTCAGGGAGCAGAAGGGTGGACTTTGGTCTCCCCCAGCGCTCTTTAACCCTAGAGCAGAAACACAGCTACTCACATGCAAAGATTGTACCCTATCCGTCGATGCCGCTCCTTCCTCCTGTACGATGCACGTGCAATAGTGGCCGTGGACTGGATCGGGCCCCTGCCTTGCATCGTACGGCCAAAATCCCAGGCTGTGCCTCTTGAACAACATGGCACGGCTTCGGCCCAGGCCCCCGGAGAGGGAGGGCGACACGGTTCCCAAGCCAAGTCCTCACCTGGCGTGTGGAAGGTGGCGAGCGCCGTCCCAGGCGACCTGGTGAGGAGGGACCCAAGCGTGGGCTGGACCCCTCCCTCGGTCACAGGAGGTGGGAACCCAGCGCGGCCAAACCGAAGGCAGAGCTTACTCGACACAGGTGCCCACCGCCTACACAGCCAGGCTGGTTTCGTGACGTTATTAGCAAGTGCCGGCTGGATTTAACCCGAAAATCCCTCCGTGCGGATCCTGAGGCGTGGAGGACACCTTTAGGGCAAAATGCTCCCCCTCGATGCCCCAGGGGCTGCGCTGTTCTGGAGTGCCTGCAGAGTGGGCTCCAGCTGGAGCAGGCCCAAATCAGAAGAGCAGGGAAGCAGGTGCCAGGCCCTGGCTGAGCCACACTACGCCCCTGAGAAGCAGGTGGGCCGGAGGGGGCAGCAGCGTGGGAAGCCACCTTGGAGAGATGGAGCACAACGAGAAACTCACTCTGTTTGCCCAGACCTTTTTAAAGGTGCAAACGGATGCGGAGGCAGGGTGAAATGAGGAGTGGAAAATGAGAAGCCCGCGAGACCAAACACGAGTGCTCTACCCATCCTTAGCCAGCTCAGCATCGTCCACAGCAGAAATTCTCAAACTGTGATCCGTGATCTCCGTGTCGGCGGTTCACAGAGAGAACACAGAGCAAAACAGTTTTGCGTGCCGGAAGATTCCCGCTTCCCGAGCATGGAGGCCATTTTGACCTGGGCCAAATGATCGAGCAGGCTGGAGTTTAAGGGCCAGGATTTTCACGATCCAGCAACGACGCAGGCTAAAATTTCCCGCCCCGATGTACCAGTTGAGCTGGAAGCAAGACTAACACCAACCAACATGGTCTCCAAATTCACAGACCTTCCCCTCCCCAAAATAAGCGCACCCACTGCATCAGAAAGCCAAGCCTGCCATGATCAAAACCCAAGTCTGCTTCTTAATTTAGTTTGCAGAATGAACAAACCTCAGAGCAGTGGTCCAAGGCCTTCAAATAATTTTCCAAAGATTATTTGGGATGAGAACTGTCGGCTCTGCGCCAACATCTCAAGCCTAACCGTGTTAGACTGCAGTTCCCATCTTTCCCAACCAGCATGGCCGGGGGTGATGGGAGGTGCGGTCCAACAGGTTGGGCAGGGCCGGTGCAGACAAGTGGGCAGTCGCTTTGCCTGCAGATGCCAAAACTGGTCCCAGGACCACAGGCAGGCCGATCACACGCTCAGCCAACAAGCCATGATCACCCCAAGATGTATCCTGGCTTGTCACAGCCCAGATCAAGCTTGCAGAAGGCCAGGCTCCAAAGATGTCTCTACGGGAAACCAGAAGAAATGATTTCGTAAGTTGGGCATGGCCCCCACTGCCAGCTCCGTGCTCTCCATATTGCCCGGGGGCCATAAATGCATGAGCAGGTGAGCAGCAAAAACTGCGATCAGGTAACTTTGGCAGGTCTTGCGGCTGCCTCGAGAGCGGCCTCACATGAGCGAAAGCAGCTGATAGAGAGAAGTTGTTGCAGGCTGGAGAGAGAGGCCCAAGTCTTCTCAGCGAGCAGCAATGCAGAAGATGCACGGAGGGACTCCTGGGAACCTCCACGCCGGAATGCTCCAGAAGACGAAGCTTTGCAAAGGGGCTTGCGACGGCACGGCCCCACCGCAACTACACTCTATCCAGTAGGATGCCCAAAGCGTCGCACAAAGTAGACAGGCTGGTGTTTCGTTCCCAGAGCGCTGGCTGCCCATTTGGCAGCACCCAGAGGCAACAGTCCGACCATGGAAGCGCAACAGACGTCCACGGGACTCAGCACTGCGCCGGAACTCGGACCGTGCGTCTTGGAATACAACTCGCCAAACAGCCGGGCGGTGATGTTCCAAATTTGACCGCAGCAGCCACAGGCCCCTGGGAAGCAGCTCCTCCTTTCTGCACCTCAAATGTGTTTAGCGTCTCAAAGGGAGCAAAGTCTAAACACGCGTTTCGACCGCGGGAAAAGCCTACAATTCCCAGCATGCCCCGGTCAGCCATGCTGCGAGCAGCCAGGCCTTTGTTCTGTCTGAACTTGCATGGGCTTGCACCTTTCGCGTACGACTGTGCAGTGACTTCCCACAGAGTTGAGCCCCACGGAGTTCAGTGGGGCTCACAGTCTAGTTTAGGGCCACGGCCTTTGCAGAATAATTGCCACTAACCCCATCAACAGCCGTGGTCAAACTAGGGCGTCCTGTTCTTTCGATGGGTTTCCCATTCAGTGGGGCCAACCACAAGCAGGCCATGAATGCGACGGCATCCTCACACCCATGTTCCCCAGCAGCAGCTGCACCCAGGCATGCTCCGTATAGATGTCGGCACTAGGAGGCGCCGGATCGCTGCCTCGCCCGTGAGCTTGCCCAGCCGCCTTTGGACACCATTCAGATAGTCGCCATTGTGCTGTGGCAGGGAGTTCCAGAGCTTAACTCCAGGCGGTGTCCAGAAGCGCTTCCTTCGGCCTGCCAGGACTCTTGCACCCATCGGCTCCTTGGCAGAACACAGCCGGGGTTGAGGAACGGGAGGCGGAAATATGCCTCGAGCTCTGCCTTCCCCACACCAAGCATAATTCCGTACGTTCCTGCCTTGCCTTCCCCACGCACCCTTTTTCTAAGCTAAACCTTCCCTCGATTGTTCCAGCTCACCTTTCTGCCCCCTCCTTTACTCGAGTCCGCCTCAAGGGCCTTCCCCGGCGTGACGGAAAGCCCTCGCTGGCTTCCCCACAAACACCGCAGGGGCAGCGCTGGACAAGAGTGCCTGAGCAGCCATCGCAGCAAAGCTTCTTGGGTCATACAGCGAGACACCCGAGAAGGGCGGGCACAGACTGGCACAGAGTACTACTCCCTTCCTAGCATGTTCTGGGAAAATATGCCAGGACATACCATCCTGGGAACATTATAGAAAGCGCCATTATTTGGCCAGACGTACCAAAAGAGCTCCCTCTGTCTGTCGACACCAGCAGCCGTTTCAGCAGGGGGCGATCGTGGCAACGGAATGGGCCGTGGTGAAAGACCACTTTCCCCCTCTTCCCTCCCCATCGCTTCTTCCTTTCATGTGCTGACTTTTCATGCTGTCAGCCCTCAGGCAGAAACCACTGTGCTTTTACTACCTGAACGTGACCCACCCCCAGAGCCTTTTTCTGGCTGGCAATCAGGAGAAGAGTAGTTTAGATAAATATCAGCAGGATCTCTGGGAGCAAGGGAGACAGAGTGTGCCCTTTTGGGACCAAGTCCCTTACAGCAGGAGTGGTCAGCCCAAGTGACAGGCCCCACCCCAGTCTCCAGTTCCCGTTCCCTCCAGCCTGACTGGGGGCTGATCACATCCAAGAAAAAGTTAGAGAAAACTTCCAGAATTGAGAAAAGGAAGGCCTGCCCTCAAAGCCAAACGCACTGGGAACTCAGGCGAGAAAAGTGAAGAAACTCCCTTTCAGTTGTGGCCAGTTGGGGAGAGAAGATGCATTATAAAAGGAATAGAAAAACGGCAAAAGAAAAATATTAAACTAGAAGTATTAGGCTAAAGGTTGCAGACTAGAATGGGACTTTCTTTGGGAGATACGGGGTTCAGGCTTTCCCTTGCCGAGGAGTCTGGCTCTTTTCCTACACACCTTTCCCCAGGCACTATTAATTAAAATATACACATGGGAAACAAACCAGTCCGCCAAGCTACCAGGGAAGCCACCGGCGTATGCGATATGCGCCTTGCAAGACTTCCATAGGAGCCTCTTTCCAACTCTCTACATGGAACCAAAAAGAGAAAAAGAAAGGGACTCCATGGCACGATCCTGTTTTGAAGGGAACATGGACACTGCAACCCCATCCGGAAAAGTTCACAAACTGAGCCGGGACAAAGGCCAGCGACGGGGACGGCAACTCCGTGAGCCGCAGGGACGGAGGAATCGTTGCCCCTTGGGCTCCTTCGGCAAAACTCCGCCGGCCGGCCCCCGGTTCCAGGCATCCAAGCTCCAAAATGGCTACAACATCTCCAGGGAGGCCTTCTGGGCTGCAGCGGGGCTTTGGGGTCGGGTCCCCCCGTTCCGCCGGTGCCTGCGTCACGCGTGCCTGGCCGGGCATGTTTTGGGGATGCGGGACGGAAGGCACAACCAGGGGACAGGCTGCGGGGCGGACTCCGAGGCGGCCGAGGCCTTCCGTGAGGCCGGCAGGCGAGGGACGTGGGGGAGGCTCGCCTCCGAATTGCAAAACACCCTCCGGCCGTGCTGCAGGCGCCCCGCACGCCCGAGCCCGGCGCCCCGTCCTGCGGCGGCCCTTACCGTGAGCGTGTCATCGATGTAGAGGGGGATCTGCCGCCTCTCGAAGGGAAATTCCTCCTCGCCGTCCCTGCAGACCGCCACCAGCCGCGCCATCTCTGCTCCCTCTGCCGCTGCGCTTACTTCTTCCTACAGCTTCTTGCCTGAAAACAGCCAAACCCCGGGCAAGTAAACACACGGCTTGCTTCCTTCCACACACTTTCATCAGGAGCGGAAAGCAGCCTGCCTTGCCGCATCGGGTGATTCGACACGGCCCTGCCCCGAGTGCCGGCTCCTTCTGAACCTCCTTCGGCGCATGCCAGTCCTCCGCTGCCCCACAGCTGAGCCTCCCCGGGCGGTTTAGGGAAATTAAAGCCCGCGGAGGGCAGCATCGTATTTCGCAGAGAGAGATCCCGCGGACAAACGGCTCAATCATTACGAAGTGGGCGAAATTGGGAAGAGATCAAGTTGGAAATGTGATCATGTGCTGCTAGATGCCCGAGGACTGGAAGGGAACAAGGTGAGCACCAGGTGGGCCTGACTCAGGAAGCCGCTCCATACCGGGGGGGGGCACCACCAAGAAGGCCCTCTCAGCAATCTCTTTTGGAGCAATGGAAGGGAGAAAATAAGGAACAGGAGCCTGATTGATCATTTGCTGTCCCGTTTTTAAAAGGTCTGCACTTCTGCTCCCATTATTATGTCCAGAGGATGCTCGGTTCTGGAAATTTCTAGCAAGTCCAAAAGCCGGTAAATGCTTCCAAGCCTGGACAGGATACACCCATCTTTAGTAAAAGTACACTAGTGTTGATTTGAGAGTGAACGCGAGAGCACACACACAGACAGGGAAAAGTACCTTCTTCCACAAAAATCTCAGCACAATGGGAACATGACAAGCGTCTGTGATTTTAGACCATTCCAGCACGTCAACACGCCATGAAACAAACAGCAGGGGCCCAGAAAAGCCCTCATTTTGACACTGAGAACTAGCAGCTTTAGCAGGACAGAGAAAGGCAGCCACTCTTTCACCGGCGTTTCCACAGGTGCGGTTCAGCACTTGGTAACAGTGGGCAACGAGGGTAAGGAGGACCCACGCAAAGGCAGCGGAAAACACGCCCGGCTGTTCACACTCAAAATGAGGGGCCAGCGCAGCAGCGATTCTAGATGGAACAGGGTGGGGGATTTTTATCCAGGGATAAGCCGAGGCACATGCAAGCCCCTACAGCGCTATCAAACAGGGGCACCCCAGACTTTACTCTTCCTGCACAACCAGGCCTCCTCCAAACTCTTAGCATGGTAGAGCAGATGCTTCAGCAAGGATTTAGGATTGCTCGAAGAATTTAGAATCACACCAACCCACAGATCACAGGTAGTGCCACCCTAAAGCCACGGATGCGCCACGCCCCCCGCAAGCTTATGGGCATCTACCTATCTCTGAAGCATCCCAATTGAAGTACGCAGCCAAGAGCAGCAGTAACTGCCTCCTACGAATTGTCTGTGGGTCCCAACAGCGACACACCAAGCTCTGCCGCTCTTCTTCACGTACCTGCAAGGGGCTTCACCCTCACAGCTCAAGCATCGATGCGCTAGAGGGCCAGTCCTCACAAAGACACGGACAAGGGCAAAGCACAGCTATTTTTCCAGCCGTGGCAGATCCCAGATGCTCCCCAAGTTGCACTTTCCACACAGCAGCCTTCTGCTCCCAGCCGAGTACACAGCCCGGCGCAGCCCGTCTCCGACCGGTGGGCATGCAGGACGGGCGGCTGCACAACCGCAAGGCTGCCACATTCACACACTGTTTGAGCACGCACTTTTAAGACAGAAGTGTAATCCTGAGAGATGCCAGACAGGCTGGGAGAAATCGTCGGAGGTTCAAGAAAGGGGTCTTGCGTGTGAACATGCAAGGATATACACACTGATTCACCCAGCTGACAAGCATAGGAAGGCGCAAAGAATTGCAGGCCCTTTAAAGAGACCCCCCACACACACTTTTCCCACCCTGCTTCAGCAAAAGAAATCTTCCTTATTCAGGAGCTTAATCCTCACACCTGCAAACATCAGAAACTGCAGGGCGGGGGAAGAACTTTTATAAAAACCAGTCTGCTTTTCCTTTCCCAGCATTTTCAGTCCCTTCAACTCTCAAAATCCCTTACCACGTTACACACTTTGCTCGCCCTCTTCTACCGCTTTGCCTGACAAATTATGCATTGTAAGTTCCTTGGGGCAGAGACTTGTCCTGCGTAAAAGCACTCATTACAGACCCATTAAATGATTAGATAGATGTTCAAGAAGTATTAATTGTCGCGCACATAAAAACCTTTATGGTTTCTCCCATAAAATACACCCTGGGTAACATGAGAAGAAGAGAAGGGAAAGAAAAACTTTGATTTATGGAGAAAAAGCAATGCTCTGTCTTCTCAGTGAAAGATGGGGAATCTCTCTAAAAATTAATAAGGAAAAAAAACTCAGTGCTCTAAAAGAACATTTGAGGGTCACTAATAATATATAAGGAGAAAAATCATTCCCCTGGGTTCTAAAGCGAGAAGTAAATTTGAGAGAGGGTGTGTCCAAAAGATGAACGAGCAAAATCAGCTCCAGAGAAAAAAAAAAAAGAAAACTTAGGGATCTTTCAGGATTAAGGAAAAAGAGTAACTTTGTGTACTGTCAACGAAGAAAAGGGTTCCCCAAGAATAATCAGGAAAATTAACTCGTTGCACTGTTCACAAAGGAAAAAATAAGGAGAAAAATTAATTCCCCGGGCTCTGAAAAAAGAAAATTGGGGCTCCCTGACAAAAATTTGGGGGTCTTCATATTAGGGAGGAAAAGCAACTACCTGCTCTCTAGAGAGAGGAGAACGCGGGGGGTCCCTGGAAGTCGCTGCAAAAGGGGGGGGGAAGAACTCAATGAAAAGTCAATTCATGACCTCCCCCACGCCCTCCCCCACTTTCCCCGGACAAGCCCCGCCTATATTTAAATTTACCTTTCCTCCCCCCAGCCCACTCCTCCTATTGGCTGCGGGTCTCCCCCTCCCGCGTCTGCTCCTGCAGCCCTTGAGAAGCAACCGAGCTGCAGCGAGGGGGAAAGCCGGACACACCTCAAAAGCCGAGACGGGCGGTTTTTTGGCCTCTCTCTCTTCCCTTCCTCACCCTCCCTTTCCAGGAGGGCAGCGTCAGTCCTCCTCCGGCTTTGGCTCCGCCCTTCTCCTCCTCTCGCGAGAGACCGCAGAGCTGCTGCTGCTGCCGCCGCCCCGCCTCCTCCCTTCCCCACCCACCACCCCCAACCAACCGCTCGGGCGGACACGCCCCCTCACCTCCCAAACCACGCCTTCTTCCGGGGCTACGCCCTCTAACTGCTACAAGGCGCGTCTGAATATATCCAAGCCACGCCCACCTGGGGCTTTTTCAAAAACAGTTATGTAAAAGAGCTCCGCCCGCTCCCTCCCTCGACGATGTTCTTCCTCCGCCGGACTGGGGGAGGGGGGGCGGTAAAGCGTGTGACTCCTCGCGCCTGCGCAGCGAGGGGGGTAGCGCGTCGAGGCGTGGAAAAGCTAATGCATGCACGCGGAAGGCTCTCCCTCTCCTGTTCTGCCGCCGGACCAATCAGAGCTGGGGAAAGGGGGACGCATCGCCTGCGGCGCGGATCGCATCACCGCGGGCTGCGCGCGCCGCGACAAGTAGTGCGCGCGTGACGGAAGGGGCGGTGGGGACGCGATCCTGCCGCCTTCCCTACTTGGGAGTAAGCCTCGCTCAGCTCGGTGGGGCTTACTTCTGAGTAGACACGTGGAGGGTTGCGCCTTTGAGGGAGCAGCGGGCCGCCTCCCTCAAGGCAGGCCCCAATCCGCCGGTACACGTTTCACGCAGAAGTCAGTCAGAACGACCCCGCTTCTTCTAGGCCTCGGTGCACAAAATGCCGGGCTTTGTTACCGTCCATTAAGCGGACTCGGGTCCACAGGGCAGCGTGTGAAGGCTGAGCTGAGTCAGCTTCCCCAGCAGCCCTGAGGTGCAGTTTTGCGCATCTCATAGTCAGGAAAGACGCTGGTTCTGTCGAGACAAGCACCAAATGCCACACTGAGGGAAGGCTGCTAACTCTTTTCTGTTAAAGCCACAGTTTTACACGCTATTAAACAGGGAGTGGCCTCAAACTCCCAGCATGCCCCAGCCAGCCATGGTGGCTGGGGCATGCTGGGAATTCTAGGCCTTTTTCTTGCCTATACAGAGTAAGACTGCACGCTGAGGAAAGATCCTTATGATCTTCTGCTTTCAATCTTGAAAGGATGTAATCCCATGCATATTCAGACAGAAAAAGGACTAAAATCCCTGCATGCCCAGCCCTCAGTCCTTTTTTCTGTCTTGCAACATCAGAGCAGCTGCTGCAGCCCTTGACCCTATATACTGTGCACCAAGACCACCAAATATATTCTAATAAAATACTGGATTGTGCCTCAGTGCCATTTCTCATGAATTGCTTATATTGCTGGTAAGCCACCTTGGGTAGGGCTATAGTGGCACAGAATTGTAGTAAATAAATAAGGAACATAACCAATAAAATTTTTATTGATTCCAAATGATTTAAAAGATGGAACCCTCTCAGTGGCACATGAAATAAATGCCTTATCTAAGACTAAAAATACTGTGAAGAATACTCAAACACTATAAAAACAGGTAACATCTATTACATTTGCTGTCCAAATTAACTGAATCTTCAAAGCCTGCCTGAAGACATGGAGAAAAAGGAGAGCAGCGAACTTTTAATGGAAGTAGTTCTAACTTCCTGGGACCTCCAGGGAGCTCAGTGATGTAATACCAAGGAGTTTGTGGTCCTTTCCACGGCCATTTCACTCTCACAACAACCCTGTGAGATAAATTACGCTGAGGAGTAGTGTCTGGCCTAAGATACTGAAAGCGTGTGGTGCAAAGATAAGCCCTGGCCTAGGAGCAGCAAGGCCTGGCGTTAAATCACCACTCGGTCACTTTGCATAATACATTATAGTATAAGGTGCAATGCTGTACAAAAATGGACTGTCTGAGGTTTGGGTGCACTTTGTGGTTGCAAATTCTTGGCAGCCACCTTGGCTGGTAACCCTCCGAGAGCGCCGAGATGGATATAAACTCGGCGTTGGTTGCAAGGATAAAATGCCTCCTGTGGAGGTCACTGGGCAGGAACCAAAAGACACCCTCTGTACTGCAATGCACAGCAGATCCAGTGGGAATCTGCAGCAGCCTTCTGCAACCTGGTGCCCTCCAGATAAGGCTGGCCTGCCATTCCCATAATTCTCAGCTGGTGTAGCCATTTTGAGGGAAGCAGGCTGGACCGATGCATGTTGCTCCCTTGGCACCAGACCAGATTAACATTTCATTGAGGACAAAGGGGTCTCCTTGACCCACTGCACGGGGCTTTCTCACACCTAACTCTGGGCCCAGCTAGAGCTGCCACTGGGATCTTACTCTCCCAGGCCTCTTACACAGCTAATTCTGCACCCCACAAGTGTTATTTCCATCAAAAATAACAAGACTTACTTCTCACTAACTAGGCTTATGATTGTACCAAAGGAGAGATCACCCTTCCGAGAAACAGCGTTCCAGAAAGTCAGGAGTTGTCATGCATTATATTTTGTATACAAAGAGATCAAGTGTTCTAGTGAAGATACAGTTAGGGGAAAATTACATACCTCACCAATAACGGATGAAGTATTAACAAACTTTATGGCTGCTACCTCCTCTGGCCACAAATGGTTATAAGCGGCTAATTACCGACAATATAACAGTCGTTAATTCTTAGCCTCCAGAACTGAATGAGTTGCTTTATTACATAGCTTGGAAAATGGCAGATTGTCCCATAATGACTTTTGTGGGCCATAGTTCCACGGTGAATTGCTCATTGTTGAGGCTGTGACATCAGAAATGGGAGCCAATCAGGCGCCGTGTCCGTGACTTGTATGCCCAAGTCCCATTGGCTGAAATGGGGTTCATCTTCCTGTCCAATGGGAATGGTTACTCCTGCTAAAGATGGTGAATGGGCCATTTCTGGAGTTACAAGTGGAATCCATCATGGCGGTCCTTGGACTTACACAATGGCTCGCCCATTTATACATGCATAGTTTGCTGGATATTTGAAGCGCTGCCATTTCCTGCAATAATAATAATTTCCTGCAATAAATCCACTTTGAAATGCTTCTATCTTTTTATGATGGTCTTCACTGAAGTCCACAATTCTATGCCACACAGCAGAACTGAGAACACCATGCAATGTGTATTCCCAAGGCTGGTTGCGTACTTCTCTTACAGCATTTGTCATCTTAAAAAATCTACTCTAGGCTAACTATAGTCTAACTTTTATTGTACTATGATGATCCTACTGCTTGTTCAACCAAATCCTACGTTATTTGTATTTATCAACCTGATTCACATTTTCATTTTGACTTTTTAACTGCATTTCTTGGACTACCTCCTGGAAAATAAGATTTGACTTAAGTTGGATCTTTGTAATAGTTTCTAAATGCATTCTTGATTTGGTCCCCCCGAGCTGAAACAGCTGCCATCCTCCAGTTTCAGAAACGGATCCTTAAATAGCCCAGTGCAAGACAGACCAACGAATAAATACAGACAGAGCCTCAGGAAAAAAGACTGGAGCCTTTGTGTTCTTCTGCGACAAGGCTTCTTTCTGATACAGTGCCAATAAATTACCACCACTTCAAGACAATATTGTTCGCTTGCAATATATACATCAATAGGCAGTTCGAAAGCATATACAAGTGTAGGATAAACATGGCGGTTAGGGTGTTGCTGTGAACTGTGTCCACCAGCATATTCACCAGCCCGGTTAAAATGTTTGCCAGCAAGAAGTACAAGAGCTGGTTTTTATTCACAGCACTGATCAAGCACGTGCCCTGCAGTTTTGGTTGGCCGCCACGGGGCTCCCAGTCCAGTTTTTTATTTGTTGCCGACGGCTCTCCAAAGGTCCAGCTGCAAGGAATGTCGGCCTCGTCCACGAGAAACTTTGTGAATGCCAGAATGAGATCAGCTGCTAAGAAGCAACTGAACAGCACCAGACTGTGAGCGATGACCCACAGGCAAAAGGCGAGGTTTGCCAGTCGCCGGGAGACTCTGTCGACGTACGTCTGAGTTACATGCAGGCACAAGAAGAGGAGGAGAACGTTCCACAGAAAGAAGCCTATGACCCCAAGCCACTCTCTCACTGTGCTTCGCTTCCTTAATAAATACAAGCCAATCTGCACACTAGCCATGTAAATGGCAAGATAGCCAATAACCGAAAAGACGCCCTCCCGGTTGGCGTTGAGGAACCCAGCCCTCGAATTCTGTCCGTCGCTCCCATGTAGGATGAACTCCTTCAGAGGCGTCAAGTCGAGAAAACATTCGTACGTCACGGCGAGGACCACCGCAACGACCCACGCCTGGCGCACGGGGAATGTGGCCAAAAGCAGCGAGGCAGCTATTCGGACGGCCGCTAAAGTGAAGAAAAAGTTCCAGTGTACGCCATACTCAGAGACGTGTTCGTGGTAGTCAACAGCCTTCACACTCACCAGCCGGCCAGCTCCAAGGAGGACCAAAGGCCACACGGAAACCAATTGCCTGGCCAAGTAGAAGAATCTATGGCGAACCGTACCAGGTTTCAGCCGCACTTCTGGACAAACCACTGCATTTCCAAAAATAAATGATCCGACACCAAAATCCATCACTCCCGTTCCGTAAGTCTCTGTTTTGGCATACCGGCGGGGATACTGCGGGAAATCCACAGCCAGAATGCTGATGGACGTCAACACATTGACAAACACTCGGAACGTGGTTATGGAAGGAATGTAGTCCGGCTCCAAGCTCGTCCTAGTGAACTCGCTCAGGATTTGGCTGAATGGCACTTTGGCCCTGCTGGTTCTCCTGCTGTAGATGCAAGAAACCAAGACAGCACACAGGGCTGTCATGGACAATATGACGAAAAGGAGGATGGGGGAAAGGATTGTACAGGAGAGGACTGGGGGGATAACTAGGACAGTAAAGTCTAGAAGAAACTGGCCATTCTGAGAACACAGATGTCTTCCACAGTGGAGAAAATACAAGATCAACACTAGTCCCCTGAAGAGCAGGCATAACGGCGCAAGAGGTAAGCCGACAGAGATCTCCACCAAGGTGGTTCCGTTCAGGTTACTTATAAAGTCTTCTCTTACTCCCTGTTGCAACATTTTCAGCCTCTGACCATTGTATGAAAAAAGGAGGAGGCATTAGAATTAGAATGTCAAGATAAAACACTTAAAATGATAGTCAGCTAAAAATGATTCTCGTTGGAATACCAGAGATATTAAAAAGACAGCGGACAAAATTGCCTTGTCCTACCTCCTTATATACCATTAAATGCCTCAGAATAGCGGGCGGTCTTAACCTGGCATCAAAGAGGTGGACAAGTTGGCGCCAGGTGAGCCTCGGAGTTGTGATCATCCCGTAACAGGGGCCCTGTTACTATTCAATTGCCGCACCTTTATTTTTCCTCCAGAAACATGTATACCGTATACGTCTTTGCACTGAACAAGTTTTAGCTTGCCGAGGAGAGGCATCTCGGTGAGGACCTGAAGAAGGGGATATCACCACACCCAGGCTTCTAATGCTGCAAAACCTGCCCAGCCCATCCCGACTCTAGTGCAGACGCTTGGGTTTTGGGTTATGCATTTATCCATCTAAAACAAGGCAACTTTTTAAAAGGAAGAAAGAGGTAAAAAGTAGATTTGGCTGGTTCAAAATAATCTCACCTTAAGAAGTGCATTCTAACGCAGAGGGTCTAGTTTGCCCTTTCTTGGCGAAAGCAGGTTGCATTTAAGCTCCAGACTGACGTTTCCTCCTCGCCTCTGCAGTTTCTCCCTTCATCTCTTTGCAGTCGAAGCAGCGCTCTGCAAACGCAGCAAGTAAATCAGGACCTGGGTTCACGTTCCCACTTTCGCCAGTGTCCTAGCCTGTGAAACCACATCGCCTGATTCGTTAGCATCAGAAGCAGTGCCTTCATTTGAATTGCACTAGTTACTCCAGGTATAAAAAAAGGTATTCACAAATAAAAATAACACGCATGATTACTCTTAGGTTCCACCTAATGCAACTAAGCAGAGCAGAAAATCTTATAGCACCTTGAAAGAGGGATCAAATTTATGCTGCGCGCCTGCATTCACTTTGTTGTTGTTGTTAGTCGCGAAGTCGTGTCCGACCCATCGCGACCCCATGGACAACATTCCTCCTGGCCTTCCTGTCCTCCAGCATCCCTCAGAGTCCACCCAAGCTCACCCCAGTGACCCCATCCAGCCACCTCATCCTCTGCCGCCCCCTTCTTCTTTTGCCATCTATTGTTCCCAGCATTAGACTCTTCCCCAGGGAGTCCTTCCTTCTCATTACCTGGGAGTAAACCCACTGAACTCAGCAGGACTGTCTTGCGAGCAGATGCCCGGGTGGCGCTGCTGCGGGTCTTCTATTTCTAGCGCACCGCTTGTTCCTCTTGCAAGGAGCTCAGGTTGGTTTGTATGGTCTTCTTCCTCTTCTCTTGACTCTCACAACAACCCTATGAGGTAGGCTAGGCTGACAACTGGCAATTAGCCCAAAGTTAACCCAGTGGCCGAGCTTCATGGCCAAGCGGAACTCTCCCGAGTGCCAGGCGCACAGTCTAGCCATTCGACGACAGCCTCGATCCGAATCGGAACCCGATTAAAGCGGCTTGCTTGGGAGCAGGGTTCCCCTTTAACTTTGGGCCACCTACTCCCGGGGAAGCGGGCACAGGCTCCCCAAAGCTTGGAAGCCGGCCGCCCGGACGTACTTGCAAGCAGCGACCCCAAACCCTTTCCAAGGGCTTATTTTCTGGCGAAGCACGGGGGGCCCCGATCCTGCGCCGGCGCAACCCGCGAGGAAGCCGGGGCGGCTTGCTCCACGCGCGCCTCCCCGGAGGCAAACCCAGCGGGCCTCGCACGCGTGGGGCCCGGCGATGCCCCCCGCGCGCACCCAGCGGAGCGCCCTCCCGAGCCGGCCTGCACGCGAGCGAAGACGCGCCCGGCGCCCGCGCCCCCCCTGGTCTTCCTCGCGAGGAAGCGGGATCCCCTCCGCGGCCGGGGCGGGGCGCCCATCCCGCCGCGGGCCGCCCAGCCCGTCCCGTCCCGGCTCCAGCGCAGGCGCCGCCCTCCTGCCCGTCCGCAGCCTCCCCTTCCCGGCCGCCGCTCCCGGACGCGCCCTTTCAGTTTTGCGCGCCGGGACGCACGGAGCAGGTGAGCCGGCGGGACGCGCGATCCCGGGTTTCCCGCGCCTCTTCCCCACCGCCTCTTCCCGCCCTGTCCGCGCGGCCGAGCCCCGGCACCTATTCCCGCGCCCCCCGCCCCACCGTCTGCCCGCTCTTGGATCCTCTGCACGGCCGCTCAAGGACGGAAGCAAGGATTCTCCTGAGCGTGCGCGAAGTTTTCCCCCAGTCCCCTCGGAGAAACCGAGCGTGGGGGCAGCGATGCCTTACCAGGCGTAAATCAAAACCAGGACGCGCATTCCGCTGCTTCCAGATGTTTTGGATTCCTGCTCCCATTATCCTCACCAGCCTGGCCGGGGGTCAGGAACGGGGGAGCTGAAGTCCCAGAGATCTGGCGAGGGGCTTTCCGCCCACCCCGAGTGAAAGCATAACAAGCACTGAATGCAGAGCGGACACTGAGCAGATTCTGAAGCCGGTTCCCTTTCGGGCACGTCCCTGCACGGAGCAGGAGTGTCGGGCTGCCGAGCCAGGTGACCTTCTCAGGGACGTGCCCGGGGCTTTGTTGACATGCTGGGGAAGCCATGCCAAGCCCGGCCATTTCGGCCTTGTCGGCATGGACTACTGCACCCATCTAGGATTGAAAGAGAAATGAAATGGGCCCACGTGCCAGCCCTCTCCTAGCGATGCGGTCCGTTTTCCTGACCCTGAAGCCCCTCGGCGGCCGCAGCTCAAAGCCATCGATCCTCCACGGGCCTGTTTTATTCCACAAAGCCCTGCGAGACACCCTTTCCCAACAAGGCGCCCTCCAGAAGCTTTGGACTATACCTCCCATCAGCCCCAGCCAAAGATCTACGGCAGTGCTTCTGCTCTTGAGAAGCCATTGCGCCTTCATGCTGAATACACAGTCACAGTTGTGAGGGTCAGCAGCCCTGTTGAAACTTGAGGGCCAAACTTTTGGGGCTGCGCGCCCGCTAAAGGGGTGGCTGGGGCTGAAGGGGGGAAGGGGGCAAGGCCAACGCGCACACCCCTCTTTCAGATTGGTGGAGAACTTGCGAGAAAAAGAAGACCCACACACCGTGGGCAGGCGATGGAAAGGGGTGTGCCCATGGAAGAGGGGTCAGGCCCTGGGGAGGGGGCTAGGTTTGTCCTTTGACATGAGGTTCGGCACCCCTGCTTCCGAGGCTGGCGAGGGTGGGCTTGTTTCGTGGAAATCCTGATTGTAAGAGTAGCTGCAACTGAGTAGAGTAGCCGTACTGAGCTGAGAGCAGAAGTAATAATGGGCCACACATCCTGGCTTGGCTAAGAAGCCTCCCCGTTGTCACTAGGGGTTCTCTCTCACCTATATGGGTACATCGTAAGTCCCTTCCTTGCTGAAAAACTGGCCCAAGTGAGATTTCCAAGGAATAGGGACGCTTTGGTGCCCTGATCTCCAGAGGCCCACAAAAGAAACCCACCAGGGGCTTCTGCGAAGAGGTTGTTTCCAGATCACCTCCCCGTTTTAGGATTTTATCATGCTGCGGGGTCTGTAGCTTAATTGGTCAAGTGATCGCTGGGGAAATTAATTTTAAAAAGATTTTGAAAAGGTCTTAAGATCTGTTGCAGCCGTTTGCCGAGTTTGGCACAGCAGGATGAAACGGGCTGTTTTTCGGGGTTTTTTTTTTTTTTTTTTTAAATCTGCCCTTGGTTGTAACTTTCCACAGACCACGCCCATACAAAACATTCTGCCGTCATTTTCCCCACAGGACTTCTTCCTCTCCCTCCTCCTCTCTCTCCCGACAGGAAGCCTCGAAGCAGGAGAACATCCACTTTGCTACCCCTAATCTTCTGGGATCTCCAAACAAGCCTGGCGTAATTGTCCAGGTTTAGAAGCAAGTCGCTTTGGTTGGTTCGGGAAGGGGACGTGCGTGGGTCCTGTTCCACTGGAGCGCTGAAGTCGCTGAAATGCCCTCTCTGCGTTATACTTAGGGCCCCTGGCTTGTCTTGTTCAAGATCTCGGCCATCGCAAGGGCCGGAGAATCGGTTTTGATGGATTTACCTGCCCGGCCTCTGAAGGATGCAGAAAGGAGGAAGGAGAGAGCCAAGCAGGTATATGGTGGAAAGGTTCAGGTTTTCATGAGCGGAGTCCCCGAGGAAGCCACGCAGGATTCACACAGCCCCTGTGTTTTATGGGCGTTGGATATCACAGATCTCTTTCCTCCGGGCTCCTGCAGGAAAATGTCCCCGCGCTCTTTTGAGTCAAAACACGTCAGCCTTTTCTTCTGCTGTTCCATCACATGGAATGTCTCCATCCTGGAGCGCCTTCTTTCCTTTGCTTCCACGGAGGCGTATTAGTTCAGTCCCAGGGTCGAATCTTTCCCATCCGCTCCTTCTGATCTGAAATCAAGGCAACAGCTGGGATTCTGCCAGGGAGGATTCTCTGGGGGTGTCTTCAAGCCTCCGTGGGCCAAACGTTCTGCGCCCTTGGTTTATTAGACCATCCAGGCACAATTCATGGCACATGTGACAGACAAAAGGTTGTACTTGGCCCGCACCCCTTCACTTTTAAGAACTGGCGCTCTAGCTGCGGAAAGGGCTGTGTACAGCCCTATGATCTGGTCCCTCGGTGGCCCTTCTGTCTCTGCTTTCAGGCCAGTGGCCCAAAGAGCATCCCGGCCGCCAGCCACGCCGCCAACGCCGCCCAATGTCCTGGGGAAGACGCGAAATCGTTCCTGTGTGATGAACAGCTGCTCCGACATGTCGAGGACCTTACCAAAGTGAATCCCGTAACTGCCACAACGGGTACTGTCTAAAAAGTGCTTTGCGGCTGATCATTGTCCTCTCCAGGCAGTTAGGGCTGCTCGCCCTGTCTGGTCCTCAGTGGGCAGTTTGAGTTCTCCAACCCCACCGCAGTCAGTCCCCCCCCCCCCCCATATTGGCCTCCCTGAGCTTCCAGAGAGCTGGTGTGGTGCTTAAGAGGACGGGACTGGGACTCAGGAGATTGGGGTTCCAGTCCCCGCTCAGCCCTGGAGCCAACTGGGTGACTTTGGGCCAGCCACAGACTCTCAGCCCAGCCTACCTCACAGGGCTGCTGCTGTGGGGATACGATTGAAAGCTCTAAGGAGGAGGTGCCTGTACCAAGAACCACAGCATGTTCCAGCATGCTCTTTTCTCCCCCCACAACTTAATTCCTGTGGCAGCTATGTTGAAGCAACAATACGAGTCTTGGGGGCACCCTAGAACCTGAGGGATCCACTCTTCCACCCTGGTCTTACCTACCCGGCCTCCTGAGTGCTTGGAATGATGGCAGCTCAAGAGGAAAGTGCCAGAAAACGGCTGCTGAGGGCCTGGCTTGAGACCCCCAACCCAGCCACTGCTCAGTGCCTGACTGTGGGGCTTTGGGACTGGGGCCGTGCACAGAAGCCTCCGTTCCCCCCGTGTACAGACCAGGGGAGGCAGAAGCCAAGCGCACTAAGGACTTGGTTTCTGGCGCAGCGCTGACCCCTCTTTCTGCCCCCCGCAGTCCTGAAGTGCCTCGAACTGCGATACGCCGCCGAGGTCTTCTACACCAACGCCGGCTGCAGCCTGGTGGCCGTCAACCCCTTCCGCCTGGTCCCGCAACTCTACTCTCCGGAGCTGATGAAGGAGTACCACACCGCCGCCCGCCTTCAGGTGAGCGAGGAGGCAAACATGCCAAACATTAGACCTTTCCCCAAATATGCCAACCATTCCAGGCGGTTGTTTGTCAAAGCGGCCCCCGAGGCTGCGTTTGGGAACGACGAACTCGGCGGGGAAGCGACGGAGCCGCACAGCTTCTCTGCTGTCAGTTCGTTCGAACGCACAGCCCTCTGCTGTCCTTCTGGTCCGACCAGGAGCTCCCGGCGGGCTTTCCATTTTCAAGTGCGTGAACATGATTCTGTGATGACTGATTGGAATATATGACCATTATTCTTTTATTTCTGTGTTGCTCAGGGGCAGAAGCTTTCTGGGCACTCCACAGGACAAAAAATAATATAAAGTCTCTGACGTTACACTTAAAATGATTTAAACAGCTCCGCGTTAGAACCTGACATGCAATACTGTGTCAAAGCATATACCTCTGAGGTCCCTGGTCTTTTCGAGTTGGTTGGCACATTTGGGGTCTTGCGACAGTGTCGTGGGCGCTCTCACAAAATGGCTGCCATGCAGTGGTTCTCACCCAGACACAAAACACCCTTTTCCCAGAATGCAAGCTGGTGAACCTAATGGCAAAGTAACCCGCCCAAGAACTGACGTATGAAGATCCGAGCTCCCAGACAAAAGCACTCTTTAGAACTCCCCAAAAAGTTCACTTCTCAGTTCACACTGCTTCCATGTGCTCTTCTTTATTTAGGAGTTAAAACCTCACATATTTGTGGCAGCAGAGGAAACGTACAGGAATGTTGAAAGCCGGATTCCTCCAGTGAACCAGTCCATTATTGTGAGTGGTGAAAGCGGAGCTGGGAAGGTAAGGGAACGGCTGTCTTTGGATCAGCCTCAAAATGCAGTGCATTTCAGATCTTGGCAAAGTTCCCTGCTTGTAGAAATCTAGCACCTCTGGATTAAGATGTAACATAGTCCTTTCTCTGGTGTTCTAGCTTGCAAAGTGCAGGATGCAATTTACATGCTTTTTACATCGTTTTAATTAAAGCAATGTTTTGCGTTTCCTCCAAACACGGTCAATTCTGGGTTCTTGGTAGTTACTAAGGTGGGATCAGTTTTGAACCTGGTTTGCTGAGTAATTTGGCTGGCTGTTTTTTAGACATGGACATCGCGTTGCTTGATGAGGTTTTATGCTACTGTTGCCGCTTCAGCCACCATTCCCAAAGGCAGCGTCGCTGTGGAAAGGATAGAGAAGAGGGTGCTGGACTCCAACCCGGTGATGGAGGCCTTTGGTGAGGATGGCTTTGCGAGAGAGAAACATACACTCCATCACAGGGGGTTCAAGGTCTGCCAGCCCAGCGTCATTTTCAGAGGCGGTCCCGGGGCTGCGTCCCAGTTGGGGAGGCCGAAGTCAGAGCAGGATGGAAATTAAATGTATATATTGTAGCTTGAAACTCTGGGAGATGGAGGGTCCCGCCTGAAGAAGGGCGTTTTGGTCTTCGAAAGAGGGAGAATTGTGCCAAAGAAGCCATTGTGGCTGTGGAGAGAGGGGTGAGGCCTTCCGGGGAACCCAGATCGAGGTGCTAAGCAGGGCAGGACTGGCCCCTCGACTTGAGGTCAGCACCTTTCTCTTATGGGGATTACCTTTCACCCCAAATGAGAGGCAGTGGGCCTACCACAACTTCCTGCAGAGAAGGATCGCCTTGATCCACAATCCCTTTTTCCGCGCTGGTGTTCCTTTGTGTTGTGACTGTTTGTGTTCCGCAGGAAACGCGTGCACGCTGAGGAACAGCAACAGCAGCCGTTTCGGGAAATACATCCAGCTTCAGCTGAACCGGTACTCACTTTTAAAAGAACCCACCTTTATGCAGCTGTCTGGCGTCGAAACGGGTGCATGTGGCCAGCAGTTCTTAAGAGCTGCAGTTGAACAGGGCACAGAATTCTCTGCAAGGGAGAGAAAAAGCAAAGGAGGGTTGATTAATTCCATTTCATTTCTCTACCACCCAGCAGTCGAAACTAGAATGTTTAACATGCAACAAGATGGCCAAAAGCGATCAGAGAAAATGCTTGACCGCTGACCAGTGTCCCATCCTATGCCATTAAATGTCTACAAACAGAGGGCAGTCTTCATCGGATGCCAAAAAGAGGATGGTCTTGGCATCAGGCAGGCCTCAGTGGGAAATCGTTCCATAATCGGGGAGCCACCACAGAGAAGCCCCTTTCCCTTGTTCCCACTTTCAAGACTCCCCCAAATGGGGCACTCAGAGGAAGGCCTGTCATGCTGTTTGTAAAGTTTATTGCTGCCTTCGGCAGATCCTCAGATTCAGAGGATCACCAGTACCCTAAGCAGAGCAAACGGAGCGGAGAGGCCTGGAGGAAGTCCAGATGGGGTAGAAGAAATGAGCCATCCACAGGGACCTGGTGTGTGCTGCCTTGCTGAAAGGCCTTGCGGTTTACTGGGGCGAAACCAGCTGTTTATGTCACAGCCTTAGGGGAGAAGCTGGGCACAGTTGTTTCCTCCTCAGCCACAAAGTCAGGGAAGAGCGTATTTTTGGATGTGAAGTTGGAATAGTTTTCTGATCCTGGCAACTGGGGACACTGCCTAGCAAGCCATAAGATTGTCCTTGCCAAAGAGCTGCATGCTCTGTTTCACTGCCTTGCTGCATTTTATGGTTTTCAGTTTTTTGATGCTCCCAGAGAACTTGGCTGATACAGAAACATAATAAATAAGCAGGCCAGCAAAAGATGGTCCCGAGCACCTTGCAAGTCATAAGATACTGATGTAAATAAATCTCTTTTGAAGAAACATTTCTCTACCTCTCTAGATCGCAGCTGCTAACGAGTGCTTCCATTCAGACATTCCTGCTGGAGAAAACAAGGGTTGCCTACCAAGCCCCCCACGAAAGAAACTTCCATATCTTTTACCAGGTTTGTGCCGTCAGTGTGTTGTTGGTTGCAGGGAGATGCAGATTAGCTGATCTGCGTGTTCACGTGGACAGCAATCCATCGTCGGCTCTATTTCTTGCCTCACCCACTGGGGCCTTTGGCAGCTTAAGCCACAGTTTCTGCAATCTAGAATTCAAGAGGATATCTAGAATATTAGATATCTGTCAAGAATTCAGTCAAGAGAGCCCTCTCTCCATCTTCTGTTAACTCTTCTTCCCTCGCCGACTTAAAGTTTTCCTTTTGTTTACTTTTGCAGAGAAGGGTTGATATTTTTCTCTTGCTTTCCAGATTGCAAAGGGTGCCACCCAAGAGCAGAGACTTGAGTGGGATCTTCCAGAAGATCTTACGTTCTCCTGGCTGCCGAATTCCGAAAAGGCCCTGGAAGGTGTGGTTTTAAAACAGAAGAGCTTTTAGCCTCCTTCGAGAAGGGGTGGAGGTGTTTCAAAAGGAACCTCAGCACACAAGCCTGTTATTATTTCCATTAAGTTGGGCTGCTGTTACAAAAAAAGCACTAAAAAAACCACTAGGGGAAGAATAACGCTAGGGTGCATTAAGCTGAAAAGCAGAACGTTTTAGGCACTTACAAATAGCCTAAATATAATTCGGGGGGGGGGGGAGTGAATTAATCACACGAGGTTAAATGGCATTATGGCTTTCTGCTGTTGTCCCCACCAGATTTGTGTAGCAGTATCCCATACGTATATACAGAGAAGCAACCCCACCCCCATGCTCAATGGGGCTTATACTTTGTGCAACTTTCTCCCCCCCCCCCCCCGGACCGCTTTGAAGTGGCACGAGAGGCGATGTCCCACTTGGGTATCGAGGATTCCACCCAGAATAATGTTTTCAAGGTCAGTGGAGGCTCAGGTGGATTCCAAAGGAGTCGCGTTACTAAACTCTTCCCGACCTAGTGGGGGACTTCTGGTGTCCCTGCTGTCGAACGTCCGGAATGTGCATCCTCCACCCAGGGATTGCCCCGTGTCTTCCCCTGCAGATACTGGCAGGGCTTCTCCACCTGGGCAACATCAGGTACCTGGAATCGGAGGACGAATCACAGCCTTGCGGACTAGAAGGTGGCACCAGAGGTGAGCCACTTGTGGCACATCTGCCATTTCCCTGCCCCTGTGGTCCATTTTTGTTTCATTGTCTTGATGCCCGGCCTTTTTTAACTCCTGTGGGGAGCCCAAGGCGGCTTGTACAGCGCTGATTGGTCGCTGCCACCGCTGGAGTGGGGGACTGGCCAGGTGGGGGCTACAGCCCAGACCTCCCGGGTCCCCAGTCCAACCATCCAGCTCTCTGCCTGGGTCAAGCAGCTGCTGCCTTCGCCTTTTTTATGGCTTTCTGAAACTAGATTTCGCCAAGACCGCTGCAAGGTTGCTACAAGTGCCCGTGGAGGAGCTGCTGGACACGCTGAGGATCCGGACCATAACGGCCGGGAAGCAGCGGCAGGTGTTCAAGAAGGCCTGTCCCAAAGCGGAGTGTGAGACGAGGCGGGACTGCCTGGCCAAAGTGATCTACGCCCAGTAAGTGCTTGGCGGGGGAGTTCGCCCCGCATCTGTGGCTGCTGGAAACGTGTCGTTCTGCCGGGTGGCACGTGTTGCTTTCTGTTGCAGGCTGTTCGACTGGCTTGTGGCCGTGATCAACGAAAGCATCTCTGCAGAGCCGTCTGTGTGGGACCATTTCATAGGTACCGGCTCCGATCCCTCAGAGGTGGGCTCGTGGGCTGGCCAGACACCACGCTGTCCGCGATCTCCGCCAGTGCTTCAGGACAATGCTCGTCTCCTCCCATCCCCTGGCAACCCCTTCCAGGACTGCTGGATGTTTATGGCTTTGAATCCTTTCCGGACAACCACCTGGAGCAGCTGTGCATCAATTACGCCAATGAGAAACTCCAGCAGCATTTTGTCGGCCATTTCTTAAAGGCCCAGCAGGCAAGTCCCTTTCAGCGGCTTTTCCAGAGGGCTCTTCTGCACCTGCCGGCCCCGGGAGGAAGGGGGCTTGGGAGGCAGGGTGTGGGTCGGCCTCGGTCCGCCGCCCCATTGCCCTCGCCTGCCATTGCGCTTCTGCTTTCCCCCAGGAGGAGTATGCTGCGGAAGGTTTGGAGTGGTCTTTCATTGACTACCGAGATAACCAACGTGGCCTGGATGCCATCGAAGGCAGCCCTGTTAGCATCTTCTCCCTGCTGAATGAGGTTGGCGTTTCCACCTGGAGGCAGCTCAGCTACTGTACCGGCCCCACTGCCAATCCATTGGCTTCCCACTCCTCTTCTCTCCCTGCAGCTCCTTCCTCTTGTGCTGTGTCTCTTTCGAGGACAGTTTCGTTTTAGTGATTGCGTGTAAGCTTCAGTGGGGACCTTTTTTGGCAAGGGAGCAAGGATAAACGTGCCTTGAATGCATTGTATGTCTTCTTTCTATCCTGCTGTTTTCCCTTCAAGGAATCCAAGGCAGCTCGCATCTGTATAATTCTCAGAACAACCCTGTGAAGCGAGTTCGGCTGAGAGTATAATAAAACTAAAAATAGTCTTCCGAGTCACCCCGATCCCACCTTATTGTTCCCAGGAATGCCGCCTTAACAGGGCCTCCAGTGCCGGGCAGCTTCAAGCGCGGATCGAGGCGGCGCTGGCCAGCAACCCGTGTGTTAGCAGGGACAGGCTGAGCAAGGAGGCGAACTTCATCGTGGCCCATTTTGCGGGCAGGGTCTGCTACCAGCTGGAGGGCATGGTGGAAAAGAACAAGGCAGGTTTGGGAGAGGGGCCCTTGGATGCCAGGGGCCCTCCAGCTTGCTGGATGGAGGCAACCTAGCACCTTCCGGATCTTCCAGGCTGCAACTGATGCCTGGAGCTGGAGGCTGTCTGAAGCACACCTGTGTGCACGAGCAGCTGGGGAACATGGGTGCTCTTGCCCTTTGGTCCCGCTTGCAAAGTGTGGGGAGGAGCTGTGGCCAGATCGGCCGAGCGCTTCGGGACGTTCATGTGTCTCCCCGTTGCTTCCTGCTTTCCTAATACACGGGAGCAACGGCCAACCCATAGGGCTGGTGCGGCGTGATGGTGGAAGCATTCAACTGTAGACCGGGGAAATCCGGGCTGAGTCCCCCCTCAGAGGGAGAAAAACAACTTCCAGTCCCCTTTATGCACCCCAAGCTGCGTTAGCCATGTGGAAGAGGGCGAGAACAGCAAGTCTAAGCAGGCCCTGAAGTTTGCTGGGGTACAAAAAATATTACGGGGGAAGCTCGGGGGGGCACCCTGGAAGCTGTCCGAGGGGTCTGGCCCGAGGAACGAGCCAGGTGGGCCGGATGGATGTTCTCTCCAGTGCCGCGCTTTTTCACCACAATCATTTTTACATTCCCGTGCTGCTGCTTCTGCCAAGAAGGACCCCGTGCCCCCAGAGCTGGTTCTCCTGCTGCAGCTTTCCCGGGATCCCTTGCTTCAGGAGTTATTTACAAGCCAAAAGGCAGACGAGGACACCACAAAGCCGCAGACGAAACCAGTGGTGGTTACGGTGGTCTCCAAATTCAAGGTTGGTCCCAGCAGTCAATTGTAACGATGGATTCGGGCTACACACCCTGCCTTTGTCCCGCTCTTCTCTACAGCAATCAGGGCTAGCCGCTTGCCATTGTGAAACAAAACAAAAGCAAGATTCAGAAACCATGGGCAGACTTTACACAGACTGCCAGACTCCCAGGGCAGCCGTCCAGATTTCAGTGTCGGGGAAACCCTCTCCCTGTTGGACTGGCCTTTGGCATAGAAGCCAGGCACGCTTTCTCGTGTTCTTGCGAGCCCGGTGCGTGTCTTAGCCCATTTCAGGGCCTGGCCAGTAACCGTGAGCCGAGTGGGCCATGAGCCGGCGGCACCCCTCCAGCAGCTGGGCCGTGAGCGGCCGCCACGCAGCAAACAGCAAATTCCCAGAGCCCCCCCGACCCCGGGCAGCCTCTCCTTTTTCCGCATCACGGCCGTCGCATTCCAAACTGTTCCCGGTGCGAACACCCCCAAGGCAGGTATGCTGAGTTCATCCGATATCGCCGATCTTGTCCATTCCGCATATTTTCCCAAGGCGAACTAAGCAGTCTTCCCCAACCTGGTGCCCCCTGGGCATGTTGGACTATAACTCCCATCATCCCTAGCCAAAGGGTATGGAAGTTGTAGTCCAGTGCATCCAGGGTGGGGTGGCAGGCTGGGGAAGGTAGCCTTAAGGACTGGCCGCATCGATGGTTTAGAAGCAGAGGAACTTCTGCACAGCAAAAACCGGATTCATCTCCCAGGGTTAGAAAATGACGGCCTTTTCTGGGTGCTCTCGCAGGGGTCTCTCGAACAGCTGATGGGGCTCCTGCACAGCACCACACCCCACTACATCCGCTGCCTCAAGCCCAACGCGCGCTGCGAGGCTGCCGTGTTCCGGAAGGACGAGGTGAGCTCCCGAACATTCACCACCGAGCATCATTCAGTCCTGCTCCTTTCTTTCTGACGGGCACCGATACGTCCAAGGCGGAGCACCCGAGTCTGCTCTTCCTTTTCCCCTTTTCATCCTCACCACAGCCCTGTGGGGTAGGACAGGCTGAGGCGTGGCTGGCCCAGAGCCGCCCGGTGAGCTTTGGAACCCGGACCTCCCCAGCCGCAGGGAAGCACGTGGACGCCCACCCGCTCCTCGGGCACGTGGGCGGCTTGCTGTTTCTGGCTGGCTTACGTCGCCGAATGACTGAATCCAGCAGCTGCCCATCGCAGCTCCTGATGCTTTGAGGGCACGGCCTGGCTGAAGCCACGTTATTTCTCGACACAAGTGCGCCGCACACCGGAGACACCCGGATTCGCACAACATGGTTGGCTCTCTGTGGTGACCCTTCTTTAAAAGCCACCCTTTCCTGCCAGGTCCTGCGTCAGCTGGAGGCGTGTGGCATCGTGGAAGCCGTCAATATCAGTGCCGCCGGCTTTCCGGTCAGGTAAGGCTGGGGGCCGAGCTCTCCAGCGTGTGGGCCAAGCCCAACTTGCCTCCCATCTCAGTCTGGCCCCCTGGAAGGCCAGGCTGGTCATGCCGTGTGTTTCCCAGCGCTTCTGCAGACGTTTCCTGTTCTGAAAGGCGGAAGTAGCCCTTCTCAGGCATCGCTTGCTTCAGCTGGTATTTTGGCCCAGCCCGCCTTGGCCTGGACCCCACGGGCTGCTCTGAAACTAAACTCGAGCCTTGGGCGGAGAGAGGTGCCTCAGCCTTGAAGCACGACTCCCCCAAACTTGCATTTCTCCCCTTTTCCGTTTCACAAGATGCTGCTTTTCTCCACGTTCACCCTCGGGGGCCTGGCTTCCTTCCAGGCTCTTGGAATCCGATGGGAAGAGTGTTTGTACCATGTCAGGGTGCCAGCAGGGGACCACCACCCAGAGGGCTTTCCTGCATTTAAAAAACCCCCTAACTGATCCCGCAGAATGTACAGTGGCACATTCCTGTTCTGGCCACCACATGAGGCCCTGGAGAGGCTCAAATCCTGACCCCAGAGCTCCTTGGATTCGGGGCAAGCAATGCTCCTGCCTCAAAGTTCTGCCCAGGTGCGTTGGGGTTTGCCTGTTTAACCTTGCAGTTGACCGATTTCCTCCCTCTCCTCTTTGGCTGAGCAGGTTGTCATTTAGAAGCTTCCTAGAGCGTTACGCGTTGCTGAAGGGATCGAGAAGGCCAGACTCAAAAGCCGCATGCCGGGAAAATGGCTTGTCTCACATCATGGAAAACGGTACGTTCTTTAACTTGGGGTCCCAAATGAACACATCCTAAGTGAACGGCTCTTCCGAGCTGGTTGCATTCAAGTCTTCCATGCTTCTCTGGCAAATTCCAGTTTTGTGCTTGGAATTTCTGTCTTTCCTGTTTGACTTTCCGATTGCTCAAGAATCTTTAAATATTTGGAGCGTTTCAGCTTAGGGGGAAAAAGCAACGAAGAACATGATGGAGGTGCGTAACATCGTACATGGTGTGCGGAAGGCAGATGCGAGGGAATTTTCCTTTCTCTCCGAATTTTAGAAATAAGGGATATCCGCAAGATGAATGGCGAGAGATTTGGGGCAGATCAAATGCGCTTTTTCATTCAGCAAATGGTTAACCTGTGGAATTCACTTCCGCAAGATGATAGACTTCAGTGCGAACTGCTTCACAAGCTGCTTGGACAAACTGACGGAAAAGCCGCCATCCATGGCTACTAGTCCTAATGGCCATATGCTTCCTCCAGGATCAGAGACAGGAGGACTGTGTACCGCAGTTGCTGGGGAAGATGGGTAGGAGGGTGCTTCGGGGGCTCCTTACCACCACCCCCGACCAACCCGCGAGGTCAAATGAACGATGCCGGTTATTTTTGCATATGCAGATCTGAGCCAATCAGGCTGGATTTATAGAGATGGTAGAATCAGGCTTTGCCTGATGTCGAAATGACGTGGCCACATACTGTTTTTTAAAGCAGAGTACGTAAAATGTTGGATTTACTAACTTGAGGGAAACTGCTGGACTCTTTCTGCTTTTCTCTTCCATGTATTCTCTCTTCCGTGTGCTCTCTGTATGTGCGTGCCCGCTATCTTCGCAACGGCACTCGTGGTCTTCCTAGCTCCCCCTGGAGCCTCCTTCCACTCTCGCAAAACCCGCTTCTTTCCGCGGGAGTCTCTCTTCCAAGCAACGAACCTCATCTCTCTCGCTTTGCATTAGTAGAACCAGGCCAGCTCGGAGAGGTAAGTTTAGATGAGGTTTCTGGTGTCCCGGCACCCAGCTCCATGCAACGGCAGGGCCCACCCAATTCACCTGCAAAGTTGGAGTGGTTGGGCTCGAAGGACGCCACACTCAAGGGTCAGGTGTTGGTTGCTGAAACACACGTCATTATATGGTCTGAACTTAGCCAAGATAACGAAGGATGGTGAGCGACCCAGTTCACCACCAAGCAACAAACCGAGTTTGCTTTGAGTATTGTTTGCGATCCACAAACCATGGCTTGTTAGCATGACTGGGTTCAGACAAGAGACGAACCCGTGGTTCAGCAACCACACACACTCAACCCTCAAGTGTGGATCGTCACATTGGCCGCACACAGTCATTGTGTGCGAGCTTTAAAAAGCTGCTGCTGCTTCCACACCGGCCACCAGTCCCAGCGTGACGGGGCGGGGCGGGGTGGGGGCTTGGGGGGCATGACAGAGAAGAGCTGGAGAGGTTAAAAGGGTGGGGTGAGGATTCGGCGGCTTCCTGCCCAGAGGGGATAGTGTGGGGTGGTGCTAGAGACGGGGCGCCTATTGAACAAAAGCATGCACAGCTAAACACGCCCTTTAAAAAACCTGCGTGTGATTTATGATGCACACAGAAGCATTTATAGAAACCTCAACATGCAAAACACCCTCACTTTGCAAACAGCCAGGGTGTAGTCTGCTGGACAACTTCTGGAAGGCCAAAAGTTCCCCACTGCCTGCACAGAGATACTTGGTTCAGCTTGGCTCTAATCCCCAGACTAGGTCGACCTCACAGGACTGTGGTGCAGATTAAACATGGTGCACAGAATCACTCGCACTTTTGGTGGAGTGGTGTGCAGCTGTTTTCAGTAAGTCGGATCCTGATCACTCCTGAAGCAACGGTGTCAGCAGATTTCACACTCCGTTCCTTCCTGTGGCAGCCCCTCCACCCCACCAGGGGTGCGGCAGAGTTCAGTGACTCCGCCGTTCGGGTACAGATCCCAAAACATAGGCAGAGGCATCCCTTGGAAGGAGGTCCCCTTCCTCTCCCCAAAGGCAGGCCCCAGAGCCAACGCTGGATTTTAAAATGAATGAAAACACCCATTTGACATATTCTGGTTTCCGCAGTTCAAGAGCTGCGCTTGCCTCTTTGGCTGTTTTGTTTTCTAAAAATCCTTTGAAAACCAGCCGTTTTCTTCCTTTCTTAGGCTGGACCACTCCTGCATCAGCAGAAGAGGAAAGAGATGCTTTTCGCTCTGCAGTCCAGGACATCCTTTGGCACGTGTGTCCCAACACAGCCCCCCTCAACCCCACAGAGAGCACACCCTGTGCCACGCCGGCATATTGTGCCAAAACCAAAGTATTCATGACCAACTCCACGGTAAGGCGCACCTGGTGGGCTTGGAGGGGGGAAGGCTTCGTTCTGTGCTCGGGCTCATAACGGTCACCCACGTCTAGCGCCTTTCTCCAGAGCCGCATTCTAGGTTTGGAAATTGGGTATTCCACATCTTTGAAAAGTTTAAGGCCCTAGCCCTTGTGGCTGCAAAGAAAGTCTCCGATGTCTGGGGGGACCCTCAAGTCTGCGGAACTCCCCACCAACAAAGGGCTTTAGAGGAAGACACAGTGCTAGCTTGTCTCAGGCGGGAGTCAGCCATCACCTTTTGCAGCCAGCTTGTGGGGGTGTTCAAGGAGAGCACCAGATCCTGCAGCTGAGTGCTCGCAGTTGCGCGGAGCTGTTTGGTTTGCTTTCCAAGTCTGCGGTTCTGGAAAAGAGCTGGAGGCAGCCTGTCTGAACCCAACCCCAACAGGAAGGGCTTCTCCTGTTTGCAGCTGGAATTGCTGGAAGCCCGGCGAGCTGGTGCCTTATCCCAGAAAGCCTTCTGCATCCAGTGCTGCTGGCGACGGTTTAAGAGGCGGAAGGCGGCGAAGGAGAAGCGGTCTGCCACGGTCATCCAGTCGGGTGAGGGGGAATGTCGCGGGCTTGCCGGACAAAGACCTGCGTGAGGTCCAGGAAGGAGCGGCACAGCTCCTACTCTGAGCCTAGAATGGCTCAGTTCAGTCTTGGACTTTTCCGGGTCAAAGAGGGGACTAGGAACCCAGGAGGGGAGAGGCACTTCAGACGAGAGAGAGAGAGCCCAAAACTTTCCTCCCATGCCCTGGCAGAGGCTTCCCTCGAATCTCTCCTTTCCTTTTTATCAGCTGTTCGCTCATGGCTGGCCAGGAAACACTTCCAGAGGCTACGGAAAGCTGCTGTTGTCATAAAAAGGGCATGGAAGAAATGGAAGGTAAGAGGGTAATTTGTCCGGGACAGACATCTTTTCTCAGCCCCTTTTCAAAAGCTGGACACCAGGAGTGTGTGCATGTTGTGGCTTTTCAACAGGACAGGGCATTGAATGTATAGCAGGAACAGACTTTTATGTCCTAAGAATCCCAGTTTTAATGTTTGGTTAAGTTTCCAGTCCTTGTGATGGTCAAGTGGCTGAAAGTACATGAACGATGCCTGGTAAAATCTCAGGCACTAAGGATTTCTGGGGCACCAAAGTGTAAGGTTCTTTGTTGGATTTTCTCATGGTGATGCTGTTCAGACAACAACACCTCTCATTCGCAACACACCTGAAGGGTACCAGGTAGAGAGATAGTCTATACTGTGTCCCCCCTCCCAGCCCCAGGAGCGAAAGCAGCAGACATACGATCTGCAATTAGTAAACAATGAAGTTACACAAATGGATTTTCTAGGAATGTATCGCATTTTTACCAGTGCAAAACTGCTCTGGTTTATCACGCACATGAAGCTGCGCACTCCCCATTTGGGATCAATTTGGCAACACCTAAGCCACCGCTTTTCCTGCCCGTGTTCCCTTGCACCAAGGGGGCTACATCACTTCTTCCCACCCTCCGCAGGCTAAGATGGGTGTGTTGGCTGCAGAAGAACTGGACGGTGTTGATGGAAAGCTGCCCTCCTTTGCTGGGGCCACCGCTTCCTTCAGCCAGGCTCCCGGGGAATCGGACAAAGCGTGGCCGCTAAACGCCATCATCCGGCTCTGGCCTCTCGGGCTGGTCCTCGCGAGTGCCCCCGTGAGGATGACCGCGTCCCAGAGCCGCCTCGCCCTCCTGACGTGCCTCCAAGGCCTACCGAAGGGCGACTTCTGCAAAGCAGGGGCCAGGCTGCCCCGAGATGGCATCGCCTCCATCCGAGCGCTCCCCCAGGTGAGTCACTGCGCTACAAGGTGCTGCAGGCCGGATCCGGCCTGCCACGGTCCCCAGGGACCAGAGTTCAGGCCTTTTCCACCATGGCCGGCAGTCCTCTGCACCACCCCACAGGCGGGGCTTGTCCAGGCATACAGCGTTTGGCAGGATGGGCACTGAGCTTCAAGTGCAAACCCGGTAAAGGGTTCCTGCAGCTCAGCTGGGCTCGTTTCTCTGCCCAGGGCTCCGTCAGGTTCCGCTGCAGGAGGTCCCCGCTGCTCCATGCCGAGGTCAGGCCCCACTGCCGCAGCTGCACCCTCTCCGGATTCAACCAGATCCTCCTCGACGCCCGCCAGCTCCTCTCCGCTTGAAAATGCACTTCACGGAGCCAAGTATTTATTGTACTTTTGTCTCCCTTTCTCTTTTTCTCCCAGCACATTTGAACACTTGCTCCCTCTGGAATCATTCAGAGCTGCGTTCGCGAGCTGGTGGCTCCCGTATGTCTTGGGCTACAGTTCCCACCAGCCCTGGCCAGTGCCCAGGGATGTTGGGAGTTGTTGCCCTCACATCCAGGAGACACCAGACTGCACAATGTCACACAGCTTCCTGGACTACCAAGTGCAGCGGTGTGAGAATATTTGCCCCAGTTTCTGCAAACCACCAGTTCGGTGCTTTGTAAATAAAAGGACAAGACGTTTCCAGATATCCACGGGTTGTGTGCATGCAGAGCTGGGAATTGGCCAGATAGTTATAGCCTACGTCATCGTGGAGGGCGGTGTGAGTGCTGGGCTGGGGAGATCTGGGTCCTCGCCCCCACTCAGCCCTGACGTCCCCCCTGGGTGACTTCGGGCCGGCCACTGCCAAAGCTCTCTGGCGGGACTGCGGTTGACCATTAAATGGCACGGAGGATGAAGCAGGTGGCCCTGGATGAAAAGCCAGTGCAAACACCCCAGGAACAAACAAACAATTCTTCCTTCTATCACATGGACAAAAGGATTCGGAAGCAAATCCTGCTTGCAGTATTGGGGCCAAGAGGCCCGAGTCCTCGGGGGTCACAGTCCCGGAGAGTGCATGCTTTTTCAGATCTAGTTGTACAGGATCAGGGTCTTTTATCGCTGCTCACAAATCCTGCGAACATGTCCACTGTGCAACCCGCAGAAGCGCAATGCTCGAGGAAGGCTTATAATATCACAAACAGTCGTGCATGTTTAGAAGTACATACTTGGGAGAAATGCACTTTTCACTAGGTTAGCCTGTGGGGTGGGGAGAGAAGAGCACGCAATGAGGAGAATGCAGATTTTCCCGATTATGGTGGAGGAGGGAGAGGAGAGACGTGCAAAAGGCAAAATGAGCTTCAGAGAGGATCCAAAGAGCACAGACATTGCCCCAGTGATGGAGGGACTTGCTGGGATTTAAGACGCAAGAACTTTCCATAGTATTTTTTTCCTTTTTAAGGGAGACAGCAGATAGAGATTTTTATATATGAAAAGCAACCATCTCCATTTTGTGTAAGGCCTAGCAAGTTTTTTAAAAACGGTCTATACAGTAGCACGGGGTCATTTTAGAGGCAAACAAATATACAAACAAACAAACAAAAAATCAAACAAACTCACTCACAATGTATTTCAAGGACATCTCTAGGGCAAGCGGCATCCCTCCTGCCCAGTGACTTAAAAATTCCAAAAAGGAAACACAGACAATCAACCAGGAGGCAGGGAAACAGCACAGGTGGAAAGGGCTGGGCACCCCTCCCAAGCAACTTAAGGGGTTTCAAACCCAGAGGCTCTTTTTACAGTGTGAAAGGAAGTGGGAGATCCAGCTTTCTGAACTCGACACCTACCAGCATCTCCCTGGCTGCTTTGCTCACACTTGGTGGCAGCAAAACCAGATTTCCAGTAAATCCCACACAAGGAAGGTTGGGGTGCTAGCACAAACAAGGAATGAACCAGATCTTGCTCCTGTTGCAAGCCTCGTAGGAAGCTGGGCAGCTTGAAGGACAGCAGAGGCCCCAGAGGGCGAAACTCAGTGTGTCCGAAGCAGAAGCGTGCAGCTTCAGGAGGCCGGCTGCATCAAGAGCCACGACGGCGTACAAGCTAATTTTGACGCTTCTGGCGCCCCACAGTTAGCGCTACAAAGGTCCATTTCCAAACTGCCTGGCCTGGTCTGTATGTTTGCATTTCCAAATCCAAAGCATTGGCCCCTTGGAAGAATGGTCTGGGAGAGCCTTTTCCAAAAGGGTCTCTTCACGACATGTTGGGAGTGCGAGGCCAGCGATGGGAACTGTAACCAGCATGCCGCGAGGCCACCGGGCTGAGGGAGCCTGGCCTGGGATTCCGGCAGAGAGCAAGGAGGGGCACGCGCACATGCTCTTGCCGACCCAGAGCTGGCTGACCTCCCCAGCCCAAACTCAGGCTGGCCGTTCGTTCTCCTTCTCGGGGGGCTCAACTGTCCGCAAGCAACAGTCTGCAAACTCCACGAAGAGCGGCTCCTGCATGGACTTCCTCAGGGCAAAGCTCTTGTCTTCCGCTCGGTCGACGTCGACGAGCAGCTGCCGGAGGTGGGGGTTGAGCAGAATGCCTCTGAGTTCTTCCGATTTGCCTGGGGTTTTGGCAAACGGGGCAAAAAGGTGAGAAGCCGGAGGAGGGGACGTCGACGTGCGCAAACAGGTCAAGGCACCTCCGCTGTGGGAAGGGGCCGTGGCTCGTTTCGAGCCGGCAAAGCACACTTGTAACCCAACCGTGTTTCTCCCACCCAAACTTTCCTCAGTGAGATGCCTTGGACTGCAACACCCAGCATCCGCCTGCTAGGGGCTGCTGGGAATTAAAGTCCAGCCCACCTGGCGCATCCTACAAAGCACGATACCGCGTCAAACAAAGCCGCTCCGCATTTGCGATGCTCAGCGAGACCAGACCTGAGCGTGCCGAGACAACATGTCCGTCCCTGCCGCTCTTTCCCAACCTGGCTATGCCCAGAACGCGTTGGACTGCAACAGCCATCATCCCCCACATTGCATGACCCATTAGCCCGGCCAGCAGGGGCATGCTGGAAGCCATCATCCAGCATCTCTGGAGTTCCAGGGAACCAGTGTGGCACAGCAGTTAGAGTACGGGACTGGGACTCAAGACCTGGCCTGGAGTCCCCACTAGGCCGTGAAGCCCCCTGGGTGACTTCCGGCCAGTCCCTGGCTCTCAGCCTAACCTACTTCACAGCCTGTATTTATGAAGACAACATGGAGCGGAGGAGAGGCCTGCAGGTTGCTTTGGGTTCCTTGCAAGAAGGAAGGAAGGAGAGAAGTGTAGCAGACACATAAAACAAGACAACTTACTTAGGAGCTGAAGTTTCTCCAGGGGCACCTTATCATCTTCGTCGTCATCTGTTAAAATGTTATCCACAGACCACGTGCTTCCTAAAGAGAAAATAGTGGGAAAACTATCGGGCAGTATATACATGAAAAAAATAAATTGCTGTGAATAATATTAGCAGCACTAAAGATAAGGAATCACTCCCAAACTCAACCAGTCCCTTCCCTCACTGTGAACCCAAACGCTCTTGTTGGGCCTTCCCCAGCGTTGTGTTCTCCTGATGTGCTGGTCCAACACATCTGGAAAGCACAAGCCTGGTGCTGGCTGCTCTTATCCAAAAAATAAAAATCCCGTTTAACAAGTTAAAAATGCAGAAAATACCTTCAGCATTTACTGATCTCTCCTCCTGAGCATCCCAGGAAATCTCTGGCTTTGCAGGCTGCGCACCGTGATAGATTTGGCCCTGGCATTGTTCTGTTCGATTCAACAAACACTGCATTATTCACTAAGGTCAGGGTGTAAGGTTTGAGAGGAAAAGGGTGCTAGGGACGCTTCGGGGGGAGGGGATCACCCTCACACAAAACTTCTCCCCCAGTCTTGAGTTGCATCCTTCCCAAAGAAGAGCTGGAAGCCGAAAGTAGGCGCTGGGCGACCTGGTGCAAATCGGTGGTGAGGAGACCTGCGTGTCCAGCGGGGCCCTTTTGGGCAGCTACTTTGGACACCGGGTTCCTGAAGACACATCCAGGGCCAGTCCCTAACCAAGCCCAGGTGGGAGCGATCCGACTGTTACGGGGTCAGACCAGGACTGGAAGAAAGCCGGGTTCAAATCTTCCTGGCCAAACTGTCTGAAAAGCTCTCCAGTGGCTGAGAAGTGGGATCGGAAACAAGAAACTAAGAAGCCTGGGCAGGTAACAGCGAATGTGGATTAAAAGCCCCAAAAACAAGCTGGCACAAGTCTCCTAAGGGCTTATGCAAAGGTAAGCAGCTGGGGGTACAGAAATGCGGGCTAAGTAATTTTTTGTAGAGGACAGGAATGGAAGGAGAGGAAAAAGAATATCCACCTACCTTTGTGCTTTTTGTAGCAGGGCAGGGAACAACTGAAACAAGGAAGATGCATGCATTGTTTCAGACACAATTTCTGTCTAAAGCAATAGACACACAATTAAGGCCTCTGTTTCCACCTGAGGCCTTAAGAGTCCGCCCCTAAGCCCCTGGGACGCAGGACAGGATTGGGCTCCATCTTTTGTACGGAAGGGGGATGCAGTCCTGTAGCCAACTCTGTACGGTGGCAGAGGTGCTCTTGTTCCTGCTATCCATGCCGAGGGGGCTCTCCCCCCGCAGAGCGAAGATCGGGGCGCAAAGCACGCCCAGGGGCAGCGGGAGGGCAGCGCGGGCAGGACGCCCGGAAGCGACGCGCCTTCCCCGCGCGAGGGAAGCCGCGGCCCCGGGCCGCTGGCTCCAGGCCCATCCAAGCGGCGAGCCTTAATCCGGGCAACCGAGCACAGGCCCACAGGCCAAGGAGCGAGCCCAGCGCGGGCGGCGGGCAGAGGCACGGCCCTCCCTTCCCGCGCGCCCCGGGGCCCTTTCCGCGCCGCGCCGCAGCCCCCGAGCCCCCGGCGCCCGGGCGGAGGCCGCTCTGAGCGTGCACGCCGAGCCCCTCCCTCCCGTCCCGACGGCCCTCTGAGCATGTACCGAGCGCCCCCCGCCTCGCCTCCCGGACCGCGGCGCGGGCGACTCACTATCGCAGCCGGCAGCCTGGGCAGCGGTACTTGGCGGCGCCCGGGCCGCCTTCCCCGCACACCACGCACGGCTCGCTCGCCTTCGGCATGGCCGCCCTCCGCCAGGCCCGCTCAGCCGCGCGCCGCGCCGGGGAGCCGGGCGCGCTCTCGACGGCGCTCCCGCGCGCGGCTTCCGGCTCGGGCGCGCGCGTGCCCGGGGAGCGCCTCCGCCGGCAGAGGCGGGCGCCGAGGTTGCGCGGGCCTGGAGCGGATGGACGCCGTTTCTGCCCCGCGCGCGAGCGGAGACGCGCCCCGGGACCCGGAGCGCAAGCGCCGCCGCAGCGCCGTGCAGTTCTTCCGGCAGGCAAAACAGCGCGGTTGCGGCCGCACGAAGGATCGCAGCGGGACCGACGATGAGGCCCCGCACCGTTGAAGGCGCCCGTCGACGGGCCTCGCCCCCCCCGCGCGCGCGCGCGCGCACACGGCACGCGCGCGTCTAGACACGCACAGGATCGCGCCCCTCTTACCTGCGCAAAGGACTTCGTCGCAAAACGGAGCGACGGGTGCTGCGGCCGCGCTCACCGAGGCAAAGGCAGAAGGCAGGGGGCGGCGGGGGGAGGAAAAGAGGAGGGGGTCACAAAACGCCTGCGGGAAGAGACCACCTTAATCTGGCACCCGAAAGCCGGCAGCCGAGGACTGCCCAAAGCCACCCGGCGAGCTTCGTGGCCGAGCGGGGCTAGCGCTCAGGTGCTCTGAGCTCTGAAACGCCACTTCACCCTGGCTCCTACCTACGTTTAAATACCTCTGAGCAGCTTCCAGGAAAATTAAACACATTAAATACATCATGGTACGCAATAGATTCAGTTAAAACTCCTAATGCTAAAAGCATTCAAGCAAAACATTAATAAAGCATGATCTGTGGGCAAGGTTGATGTTTTGTATTGATTATGGAAGCCACATCCTTGCATTTCTGTATGATTTTTTTAAGTTGCATACAAAAACTAGGTTGAGAGACTAATAAACAATCCTACAAAAACTAGGTTGAGAGACTAATAAACAAACCTACAAAAACTAGGTTGAGAGACTAATAAACAGGAGAAAAATTAAGTGACGCCTGGGCAGGCTGGATGCGAAAGAGAACTGGGTTATTTCCACCGCAATGGTTGTGTGGGACTGGTCACATCATCAGGTTGCACCCCGTGCATGTTCCGGTAGACAAAAGACTGAAAACTGCGGCATGGGGCAACCATGGGGCTTTTTTCTGTATAGGACGGCACCTTTAGTAGCGGCACAGAAGAATCCGCTTCTGCAGAGCTATTACGGGTTCCAAAGCTGCATCCCCTGTTGCCCTGCATATACCGCTGTTCTTGAGCAGGTTACATTCAAAGTGAGAGGATGTGGTCTCAACTCCTGTTAAGAAGCTAATGTCCCAGTAAATACTGCAAGCACAGATACCTCCTGCGCATCAATGCGCCAACCAATTAAATTGGACATGGCAAGCTTGGCCTTTCTCAAATAAAGGTTAATGATGCCAAAAGAGGGAATTACATTTTATTAAATCAACAGCGCCAAAGCAAACAACACGGCTTTCCGTGTCGGCTCAGATATGAGAGGCTCAGAGGGAGCGCTTGTGTACGTGTGTGGAAACCAGCTGGTTTTAATCAAAGCTTTTCAGAGACTGCAGCTCTATCCTCATTTACCTAGGAGTAAGGCCCCTTCGACTCCTTGTAGCCTATTTCTCAGTGGGAATTTTGACACTTGGACTTTCCTTCATGCTCGAGCACAAGACAACCTTCCCTGGCTTGCTGTCCTCTGGATACATCGGACTAGAATGATTCTCTTAATCCAAGCAACCATAATAGCTGCAGAACTCAACCCAGGTTTGGGTTCCTGGTGCTAACAGGCTGGGAAAGATGCTCTGGACCACTCGAGCACCATCATACACACAAAGCCAAAGGCCGCAGCACATCACACAAACAGTTCGCTGTACCTTTAACTGTTTTTTGAGTTGCAGCCTTTCAAAGCAATATATAGATTTCAACAGTGCAAAATATACATGTGTGTACATAGAATTATATTAAGGCAGCGTGTTCGAAAGTCCTACTATATGAACTGCCCCACCAGCACCACCCCCCACATTAAATCAAAGGCATACTTTAGTCCGGCACTCAAGTTTTACTTTCAAGAGCACAAACAGATCTCGGAGAGATGAGTCTGCAGTTCCAGTCCATTTCTTCTAGCACGCATGTATTCAATGGAGCACGTTGTAAGCATCCCCCTCCTCCGTATCATCAGTGAAGTCAAGATATATGGCTACTATTTTAATCAGACGAAAACCAACTTGGCCATGGATTAAGTCACAGCTTTCTCTCTGATAACTCCCTTGGAATGAAGCTCATCTTGAAGCTTTGCATTTTCACCCTGAATCATTATTTTCACCTTTGCCCCAAACCAGCCCGACTACTTTTTTTTTCCAAAGGTTTTGAAGGCAGATCCAGTTGTAGATAGGCGCCAAGTCCCGTCGTTCTTCTGCTTGGGAACTGTCCGCCCAAAGTGGTGCTGAAGTTGTTTTAGGGCAATGAGGCAAGAAACGAGAGACTTCGAGGTGCGATGCTAAACTTGCTAGCTGGCAGTAAGACCCATTAAACTTAGAGGGACCCACTTCTGAGCAGAAACGGGCGGGATTGCACCCGCCTCCTTGAGCAATGCGGACATTTCAAGTGTGGCAATGGGCTGGGAACACAGATAGGAGAAATCGGTTTGTGTTGCTTTGGGCAAGGTCAGGGGTGCCCAATGGCGTTCACAGCGACGCGGTTGTTGGAAGGGTGCTTCAAGGCCTTGAGCCTGTGCCCCAACCTTTTCGCATTCAGGGCGTATATGACGGGGTTACCCAACGCATTGATGGTGATCATCATCGCCGTGAGGTTGCGGAACACGTAGACGCGTGTGGGGAGCTCGCTGGGGCAACGCTGAGTGGCCAAATCAAGCACGACCCCTATGAAGAAGGGTGCATAAGAAAGCAGTGCCAGGAGCCAGATCAGTACACTAGTCTTGGCCACTTGGACCTCAGCCAGCCGGTAGATGTTCTGGGCCTGTCCCAGTGCGCACATGGCCACCTTGTGCTTTCTCAGGAAGCTGATGATGTTGAAGTAGGTGTAGAACGGCATGATTAAAGCTGCCGCGCAGTGTGGGACGGTGAGGAAGGTGAGGTAGTCCATGCACAGAGGGCTGTAAAGGACCGAGAGGTTGCCTTTATCCAAGCAGTTCCACCCCATCAAGGGCAGGAAGCCCAGGGTGAAGGCGAACATCCAGAGAGTCAAGGCGATGCCCAAGGTCTGGTTCCTGGTGATCCGGCTCCTCATCCTCAGGCTTCCGACCACAGCCAGGTAGCGTTCGATCCCGATGGAAACTAAGTTATAGATGGTGGCCAAGATGGACATGGCGTAGAAGGTATATGCCGTGAGGACTTGCCTGGAGCCAACGATGGTGCTCTCAGGGTTGGTCACAAACAAGAGGGCGATCCAGAAACCCGACAAGCTGGAGAGCAGATCGGAAATGGCCAGGCTGCAGAAAAGGATGAAGATGGGCTTGTGCAGCAGTCTGGAATGCACGATGCTAAAGATGACGGCGGAGTTGAAGACCACGGAGATCAGGGCAAGGGACAGCTGAGGAATCCCTAAAGAAAGCACCAGGGGCCAGGTCCAAATGTGGGTGGTGCGGTTGACGCAGTCCTGGGGTCCGTCCATGATGGGCATTAGAGCACAGCTCTGGGCAGCAGCTGGGGAAGAGCTGGAAGCTGCCTCACGGAGCTGGAACTGAGTGCTGAAGCCAGGAGTCAAAGTCAAGGGTGGGAACCAGGAGTCAGGAGTCAGAGCCCACGACACTAGCCAGGAAATTGTTGTTCAGGCAAAGTCCCCACGCCTTTGAAGCCCAGTGGATAGGTTGGGTGGGCAAGACCAGACGGGACTCTGAGAATGCTTTTCTGCCCCGGATGATACTCCAAAACACAGCGTTGGCTGCTTACCACATGGCGCTCACAGTCTTGAGTGTACCTGGTTTCGGCCGCTTTGGTTCCTGGTCATGGCTGATGAAGACACTCAACATATAAATTGGATTTTAAAGTCTATCCTTGCTCTTTTTATCCCTGTATCTGGCAGCACTGAATGGTAGGACAGGGTGCAATGACCTTCTGTTTTGCAGCTCCAAGGGGGGAGGTCTGACTGTACACATTCCTGTTTCCATCATGCCATGCAAACAATGGATTACACGTTAACTCTCCTCCATCTCAACACTTCAGTTCTTGGCTCTGTACCCCCAGGTTGCTAGGCTGATCCTAGATAGCAAATGCATCCAATGAATTCCAGGTCATTTCCCTGTGGCCTTCTCTGTGGGGAATTGCCTTCAGGCCTCATTCACTGGAAATTCACCCATCAATTACCATAGATAAACATGGCCCCTCCGGACTGTCAAAGGCCAGAAGGTAAAGGCAAAAGACTTGTCCACTTGATCCCCAGAGAAGATGACAGTGAGCCTGTGATTCGCTTCAGTGCCAAAAGGCTCCCCTGTCCTGCTGCAATGCAAGAAGCTGCTTCATGCCAGCTCAGATCATTCATCCCCTGGACTACACATGGCTCAGCACCCAGGTACTTGGCCAACCTGGGCTTCACTGGCAACCTGTGGTGTCTAGGAGTGGTGCTAAGTAGGCAGCAAAGGGGCTCAGACCCACAAGACAGACAGACAGAAAGACGGACAGACACACATTTCCACATGCAAACTTCCAGCTCCTAAGAGCCCTCCTGCGTGTAAGAGGAAAGGTATGGAGAGGAGAGAGCGGGGCATTTCATTTCAGGGATAAAACGCTCTGGAGGTAAAGCACAGGCAGGCCAAAAGCCAGCTCATCCAAGGGGATAGGGCCCCACAGACACCCCCGGGGCTCCTGGACAGCAGGCTGATGGGGCAGAGGGCTTCCCATAGATTCAGGACTCCAGCCCTCGCAAGTGAAGGCAATTTTCCTGGCCTTCCACCAGTGCCAGTTCCCAGGCACTGCCGAAAACCCTGACTTAGGACACGTGCCGTGGGCCCTCTCCTGACGAACAGCCTTCCCCTGGCCTTCCACATTTCACCTGTTCTGGGGCCTGAGCTGCCAAGGGGGCTGCACTTGTGGGGAAGATGGGGCCCATGGGACTACGACATGGGGCAGAGAGATTTCAGGGTTAGCGTCCTGGCTTGGACCTCCCTTCCAGCAAAGATTCAACTGTCTTCCACCCAGTTGTCCTTCAGGTGCCTGCTGAAGATGTATTTATACAAGCTCCTGATACAGGCAAATGTTTTATCTGTTTTCTGGAGTGGAAATTATGGTTTGGTTCTGCAGTTGAAATTTTAGAGTAATTATTTTAATGGGATCTATCAGCTGTATTGTTTTTGGGGTGGGTTCCTTGTGAGGAAGGTGGGACATAAATATAAGCAAATTAACTATTCTCTGTGGCAATGGTACTCCTATGAATATTTTATTCACTAAAATCTATATCCCGCCCTTCCTCTCAAGAGCCTCGGGAAGAAAGATGTCTTATCAGTGACCTAACACTTTTAAATGGAGATATGGGGGTGGGGGGTGAACTGGACACCTTTTGCAGGCCAAGGTGCTGTTCTAGAAAGGCTATCTAGATCCTGAGCAGATGAAGGTATTTCCTATAATCAGCCATCCACCAGACCCTTTCTAGTGAATTGAAGCTGGGGCCTTCCCGTCTTTCCACTTATTCCTTGTATGTCAAGTTCTCATCAGATAAAGATAACCCTCCAACACATTTTAAACCAGGAAAAAGTCCCAAAAAACCAGCCGGTGTGCAGAAAATTGAACCCTAAAAGAACAAGAGAGTTCTTCTATTCTTAAACTGAAAGCAACACATTCAGGACTAGAGCCTTACATTTTAAAAAACTAAGACAAACTCCTCCTCCAAAAGGACTTGGCTCCCCAAAGCACCCCTCTTCCCATGGCTACAGCTTTGGTTTGTTGATAAGCACATGTTTTAAAAGCTATTCGTTTACTCAAAGGCAAACGTCCCATTTTAAAGTAGCTTCTGTTTGCCAGCCTGTGGTTCCTTGCATAGGACATCTGTTTGTGAGTGTGGGTACCCGTTTCTATTTTGTTGCAAAACAAAGAATGGCAGCGCCTCGGTTCTGAGAAATCCAAGACCTCTTGCTGGAGGGTCACTTCATCACACTGAAAGGGCAAGCGGAGTGGGTCGGGCAGAGGGTGCATTCGGACGCTGCCTGCTTTGGAACAGCAGAGGGAGCCCTTTCCACAAAAAGCATCCAAAGGAAGAGGCCCTTTGCTGGAGACTGGGGTCCACGGCAGAGGAAGTTGGCGAAGAGAACGGCCGGCTTGCTTGCTGCTGCTGCCCTTCCAGATTCCACTGAAAGCAGGTTGACTTCAAATGGTAGAGAGTTAACATGACAGGAATAATTTGCTGGCATGGGTTGAACCGGGGACTGCAGCCAAGACCGAGGCCAAGTCATTGGTCAGTGAAGAAAGCTATCTGGAAGAAAATGGATGCATGTGAAGATGCTGTGGGAGGCGTGTTTTGCAAATTCCCTGGACCCACAGAAAGGCAAACAAGGTGGTTCTGGATCAAATCAAGCCAGAAAAATGAAGATACTGAAGCTGCTGTTCTTTGGACGCATCATCAGGATGGGAGGACCATCGTGCTAGGGAAGGTTGAAGAGGAAGGCCAGCCAGGAGGTGGATCCATTCCATCAAGGGAGCCACAGTCTTGAGTTTCCAAGGGCTGTCAAAGACAGGAAATTTTGGGGGGCTACTATTCACAGCGTCCCCATAAGTCAGAGGCAGCTTGACGGCACATAGCAAGGTTGGTTTTGACGCAGCTAAGCTGCCTTCTACAGATGATGATCTTGAAAGGCAGCTAAGAAATGAGATGAATGAGGAAGAGCACCAAAACACATGGTTTGGAGGCACAGAATTGGCTTTTGAGTGCATAGACAGGCATAGCTGCAGGGAGAAGCTGCTGGTTTTGGGGAGAGGACCTGGGGCAAGACGTTCTCAGTGTGGATCCCCTCCTGCGTCTGTTCCCTTCTGCCATTCTGAGGCTTTCCTTCCCTGGGCTGGCAGCATCCCCTTTGTGCCTGCTGGGCCTCTTCTCCGACCCTTGTGGCCACCTCTCCGTCTGAGGCATCCGCTTGGCCTCTGCTTCTTGCCCTGCGAGGAAAAGCAAGCCCTGTGGCCGCTGGCCGGCTGGGGCTGAAGCCCTGTGTCAGACCCCCTTGGGCCAGAGGCTCTTGCCGTCCTCTCTTTGCATCGAAGTGAACTTCGTGAAATTGTGGGTGAACCTGGCTCTTCACCTCACTCAAGCCATGCCAAGCGCCTGCTCGGCGGGAATTAGAAGCGTCGAGCCATGACCATGTTTCGCGGCAACCCTCTTCCGCGCCGCCGTAGCTTACGACGTAGAGTCTGCTGGAATTCTTCCTTTCGGTTGTCTGCAAGAAGCCGTGCTCGGAGGCCCAAAGTGATGCTGGCTTGTATAATGCTGCTGATTGACGGAAAGGACAAGCCACTGGTTTGGCTACGGAGGGAGAGGCAAATGGCAGGGCTGGCGAGTGGCTCTGTTTACAGTCCCAGATGGGAATCGAAAGGGGAAATGAGCGGTGAGGGTGGAGAGGGGAGAGAATCGAGCCTGCTTCAATGAGCAGCTCTTTCGTGCTGTCACCAATATTGGCTACCTCGGGGAGGGTTGTGGCTGGTCCCAGCCGGGCCGATGCAGGGTCCCGGCTGCCTCACCAGCAGCAGCCAAGCGGATGCGCAGCTGAGCGGGACCGTTGTGGAAAGGCACCACTGCCATATCCTTGCCTGCAAACGACGCAGAACGGGCCGCCAAGGCCAGGCGAGCACAGCTCTGCAGGGTGCGAAAACGGTACACAGTCCCGGCCGCGTTCTAAGCTGCATGCGGCGCTCCGCAGTCCCCGTGCCTGCGCGTTGTTTGGCAGCACCGGCTGGATTTGTGTGAGATCAGGTCTGTGCCAAATGGATTATCGGCCCTGTCAGGTTTGATGGGCCCAATTACCGGTCTGGGTAAGGCTGAATGGATCCAGGGTGAGTGCTGGGTGGGAACGGCTTCGGACAAAAGAGATGCGTAAATCCAGCTCAGTCTAGGTTACCTTTGCCTCGCAGGCTGGTATGAGGAAAGTTAGCTTAAGGCTCGGCGTGGGTGAGACAGCCCAAATCTGGCATGCAACGTCGTTAAAACTGAGGCAGCTGTGGTGCACCCTTGATCGCTCGTTCACATGCTACAGGAAATCAGGTTCTCGGGGAAAGTGTTTGGTTTTGGCAGCCAGTGGGTAAGGAAGGCCCAGTTGTGCTTCTGGAGGGATGCAGGGGCTGGTTTTGAAGTGGAGGCGCCTGCTAGGCGGGCCCCCAGGTTCTTGTGCCCCAAGGGCAGCCCCCAGTTGCAGGCAGCTGTGTCGATCCGTGTCAGAGCCAGCACACAAACAGGCTCCCAGGATTCTGGCATCATTTGCACATGCTAGTGGATAAGCGTAGGGGCTGGAAACTCCCTGGTGTGGAAGGGGCTTCCACGGGAGGTGGTTGAGGCCCCATCAGTGCGGGTGTTCAAGGATAGGCTGGACATGCACATGGTGGGCATGTCCTGAGTGGAGCCAGACTAGATGGCCCAGGAGGTCCCTTCTGACTCACTCTTTTTCTCTGTGGCTAACTGAGGCCCAGGGCCCAGCTTGGCCCCTTGATGGCTACACTCCCTTCCATGGCCCGGCCACCAATCCTTTGGCCATGCCGCATTTTTTTTCTCCCCCTCAAAGGCTGAAATGGCCTTCCCTAGACATAGTCCACACAATCCAAGTGAATCGCACCCAAAGAAAACAGTCCACAGGTCCTCAGAATTCTCATAACTTGGGAAAAGCATCTCTGCTGTGGAACACACAGTTCAGAGTTATAGGAATCTGAGCTCATGGCAATGAATTGCAGGATTTCCCAACGTCTCTGGATTTAAGGAATGCCCCTAAA